TTAGTGTTGTGAGGTGTATTTACGACTTGGTAGAGTATCTAACTATCATAATCAATGAATTATATGGGCAGTACACATGAAATCCAACAAGTTTTAAGTAGATGAGCAAAAGGAAAAGGTAGCAAAAAACACAAAGAAAAAGGAAGATAACAAAGTTGCTCAGGAACAACACAGCTGTATGAATTTTAAATGATAGAAAAATGTTTAGAATTCTTAATGGAAGATTTCCCTCAAATCTGGAAGGCCCTTCTAGATCCATATCTGAACGGAATTCTCCCAGAAATTTTGGTGTGCCGTGGGCCGGACTGAATCTGGCAACACAAAGTACAGCATAAATCCATGATTAAGACTTCACTCCCAACGTATCTGTTACAAACAATGTGGATCAGAACAGCCATAGCTACAACGGTCAGATATTCCAGCTTTTTGGGGTTTGTTTGGCCAGCGGGTGTACTTCACTGCTTGCCGGGGAGGCATCACCTTTGGCAAAAGTACAAGTTTACAATACCTTTTCATTGAAGAACGTTCCTCCCCGGCAAGTGGCCGGTCTGTTTGTGAGGGAGGAATCTACCACTTGTTGGAGGAGACCTCTTTGGAACAAAGTTACATGCAACTCATAACACCGTGTACCGGGGAGGATTCCTCCTGACTCCTGAACAACAGCCTGTCCCCAACAAGCAGCAAGAAAGGATGATGCCTCCTTGGCGAGCATCTTCTAAGAAAACTTCACTGAGCACACACCCCATAGCCTTTGCCAGGGGGTATGTATGCTCTCTCCCTGGGTCTTGTAGAGCAAACACCATGGCCTTCCTTGTCGACAAAAGGTCTTCGGTAGGCCTGGTATGCATGAGGTGATAAGCACTGGATATTTCATTGCCCGGTGAAGAAGATTTACGTTGTGATTATGCATTGGCTCATCACTTTTGGTTTCCAGATTCGCCGGCTGTGCCCTGGGGAGGTCCACCTTCCAAATCTATGTGAGGGTTTCCATTTTTCTACCCAGCTTTCCAGATATAAACCGTAGGCATTCAACATGTCAACAAAACCTTCAAAAGCGCACTGGTGGTTGTGCTCCGGGATCTCAGGGCTACTCAAAAGCTAATTGCAACACAATGAATCAGCCACCTGAAAACATCATCCAAACAAAAGCCATAATTGCTTAATCTTCCTCTCTGTGTTGACGCGGCTCAACTTGATCAAGTCAACCACGGATTGAGTGTTGTTGAACCTGAATCAATTGCTCCTGTTGTCCATACTTTGCTTGACTTGAAAGCTGGCTGAAATAGAGATGTCACTCAATACCCGGGTACCTGTAGCGGGTGCGGGTACCTGCCTCAAAAATCCAATATTTTTGAAACCCACACCCACACCCGCACCTGCTAGGGCCACCAGGGTGGGTACGGTACCTGGCACATTTTTGCAGGCAAATATACCCAGAAATCTCACCCTTGAATTTCTGCATGACTTGGTAAATATAAGATTGATATTCACTAGATATATGAGTAAGAATAAAATAAAAATAAAGAAATAAATAAAAACAAATTATTCTATCACCAATTTGAATTTTATCTCCTCTCTGATCTATCTTTAGCTTTACCCTTTTACTTGGCCTCATTTGCCTTATTCAATGTCCATTGATGAAGACTGTACACCGTCTTTATGACTGGAGGAATTCCTCCAGTCATCAAGACTGTACACCATCTCAAACACTGCAAATGTGATTATATCAGATTCCCACATCTGGCATTACATCAGATGAAAAAAAAACTGATTTTACATCAAGCAAAACTGGTATTATATCTATCAGGAGTGATATTATATCTACCCAAAATTATGTTATATCGATCTCAAGAAATATTGCATCAGCCCAACCTATTTAATATCAACATAACTGATTTTATGTCTGATTTTATATCTGATACAAATTTTTAGCCCATGGACATTACATCAGATGGAAAAATCTGATATGAATTCAGTTATGTTGAAATTGAATAGGTTGGTCTGATTTAATATCTTTCATGATACACACAATATCATTTTAGGTAGATATAATATCAATTCTGGTAGATACAATCCCAGTCTTTCCTGATGTAATATCAGATATTTTTATCTAATGTAATGCCAGATTTAGCAATCTGATAAAATCATTTTGGTAGTGAAAGGCCGGAGGGAACCCTCCGGCCTCAACAAAGCAACCAGATTAGTTCAGCAACACATGTAAGACACCAGCTGGTGTCCTAAATGGGTTGCTGACACCTTTGTGCAGCCCAACACACCCAAAAAAGGGAGTGTTGGACCACCAATGATAAATTGATTTCTCCAGGGGAAGCATTCCCAGGGCGGGTGTAAGGCAGGTACCCGGGTACCTGCCTTTTTTTACCGCAAATGTTGACACCCGCACCTGTTTTTACTGCAAATGTTGACACCCACACCCGCACCCGGTACCTGTTTCCGGGTACCTGCTTTGGAAAACAGGTACCTGCAAACGGGTACCTGCTGACATCTCTAGGCTGAAATTGGGTTGATCAAAGGTTTTTTTAGGTCAATGAACTTGAGCCGAGTGTTGACACCTCAGCTGACAGAAGAATCTGAGGGAATTTAGGGGCTTCTTTTCAGATCTGGACAATGAAGATGACAGAAAAGCAAATTTGGGAAAATATGGAATTCTGGAAATATCTGGAATCTAGGATTCCAGAACTGGATCTAGAAGGGCTTCCAGATTGACAGGAAGTCTTCCAATGAACTCAAAAATCAGTGCATGGGCAAGGTTGATTAAATAATAACATTGAAACAAATATGAAACATGTATTGTATCTGTATTTCCCAGTACAAAGTTTTCCAAACTGTGTATTTTATATGTTAACAGATAAATAAGAAATAAATGTATCTATTTATTTAAATACAATTTGGGGTGAACTTGATCCAATACATCATGTGTTGTAATGCATTAGGCAGAATATACACAGTTTTGGGAACCTTTGTATTGTATCAGATAATAGTAACATCAGAAATACATTTATTACAATGCAATACATGAAAATCAAGTAGATGTACTGGATTCTTTCAGTGTTGGTTGGATTGTGGGATTCCAAACTTGTTTCAAGCATTGAATCAAGTGGAGTAATTGTTCAAAATTGAGGATTCATTTTCTTAAGTGTACCATTTCATAGTTGTATATTACAGTGAATTCAACTCATATTTACTATAGATACAGATCAGTTCATACAGTCACACAAAGTAGGAACAAATTTCAAATTACCATCCATTTGGAACTGAAGGCTACTTCAATCTGGGTGAGCTATGTGAGCTTGTTGAGCTGGGAAAAGAATGAAAAGAAAACCCTGTTTTTAACCACCTCAAATTCCCTCCTAACAATACTAGACAAAATGAGGGATATCTTGAATGGTACCATCTATATGGAGAAGAAAAATTAAAAATTAACAATTAAAAATAAGTATGAGCTATAATTCAAGTTTTCAAAAGTTCATAGGGAGAAAAAAAAAATTGGGAAAAATGGGCGAGAAAAAAAAAAGAAATGCTCTTTTGGGAATTTTCAACATTTCCAAAAAGAATGCTGGATTTTAGATGATTTTTAGCATATTTGGAATCCCAAAAGAATTAATTGAAAATGCTGGAAAAACTGGGTTTAAAAGCAGAAAAGCAGGTGTGAAAAACAAGGTGTGGATAGCAGAAAAGGGGGTACATTGATTAATCCCAGATAAATAAGCAAGTCTAAAAACATTCAATTAAAGTCTAAAGCTCTCAAGAAAAATTGAAATCATACTCAGAAGCTGTAAAGATGTAAGGCTTGACACAGAATAGCATGAGTGTTGTTGAGAAAAAATTTACAAGGAAAACAAAATTTGGTTACATAAAGAGACTGAAGAACTTTTGACCAACAAGGAAAACTGTGGAGGGAGAGATGTGGGTAGTGATGAAGAGAGTTCTCACTGGAGCGGTTAAATTTTGTCAAAAAAGAGGGTAAGAACCATCAATTTTTACATTTCTTGTAACTGGCTAGTTTTTAAATAGACTACATACAAGCTGATCAAAAAGTGGTTGCGTAATTGAATATTCAAACAAGAGAAAAACAATCAATAATGAATATAATTAGAAGAAGATAAATGAAGAACATGAGTGTTGATAAGAGGGACAATGCCTAGGGTTCTTGACTGCAAAGGGGGTCTTATTATAAGAAAGGTCAACAACAAACTATGATCTGAAGAATTCAAGATGACTGAAAATAATTGGGGGGAGAAAACAAAAGAGTCATTAGTAAAAGAGAAGGAATCATTTAGAATTTCAACAAAGACACTTTCCATTCCAGCTGAGAAATGGTTGATTTGATCAAGTAAAAAAAGAATTAGGGGAATAATAACAATTAACATGGGGATAGACTGGTTTCTGAAATAGTGGGAGAGAGAATTGAATGTAAGTTGCAAGGTTGTATGGTCAGTGGCGGGGATTGACATGGTTGGTTGAAGTTGAGTTGGATGCCTTCCAATTTACATATTATCCGTTAGACTAGTCCATTGTGCACCTCCAGGCCTCAGAAAAAAAAGGACTTAAAAATTATTGAAATGTTTCTCAACAACTGGACAACTCTTCACCATCTTCATAGCCTGCTCAAATCCTTGTTGCATGAAGAGAGCATCCAAATGAGGGCAAAATCCCATACAGTGACTATAGTGTATACTATGTCTTAGTGACAACTCTTGAGCATATTGGACAAACTGGGTGTTCCTTTGAGCCTCCCATGAAAAACCTACTTAAGAATCTGCCTACAACAAGTTTAAACAAAATCAAGTTGCAGGAGAGCCTGAGGACCCAAGGCTTAGAGCTTAGTTAGGCTCGTTGACAGGAACCCAAGGGAGAAGGAAGAGAGCCTTCCTTGGGATTGTGATTCAGACCTCCTGACAAGGTCACGCTTGACTATGGCAGCGCCGATCAGTCGGGAGGACTGCCTGTAGCTTCCTCCAGATGATTTCTGAGGCAAGATGTAATGTTCACTATTGTTTGCTCAACGCTACACCACCACGCCCGAAGGTCGATTTGGGCGTTCAATAGTATACATCATCTACAACGAACTGGTTTTGAAATAAATGACAAAGCTGATGATGCAAGTGATGGGCATATCTCTTTGACGTACATGTAGGAAAAGGGACGTAATAATGATCAAGAATAGAATAGTAAAACTCAAGGAATAATACAAGGTATATGTCCTAACTGAATATTTTTCTTGAAATGGCAAAGGGAAAAAAGAAAGGAAACACGTAAAAAGAGCTTTACATAAAAGATTATCCCAGCCATTATTACATATTGCACAGCTTCCCTTATGCTTCTGAAATCTCCAAGCAAAAAATCAAAAATAATGAAGATAATGAGAAGTAACTCAAGGAGAAAAAACAAGTTTTTATTGGAGATTTGAGAAATATGAACGGTACGAGATTTTCATGGCTTCAGAAAATTCATACAAGCGAGGGGATTGGGGAAAATTCAAGTACATTTATCTGTTGGGGTTCTTCATTGATGACCAGCCAGATCCCTGGAAGTGGAGGAGGAACATCCGGCAGATGGCAGCTGATCACGGTGTTGAGGTTGATAATCGAATTTACAAGGGTGGCTTCTTCTCTTGCAATGTTCACACGGAGGCGGCCCAGGTGTACACCGTAGTTTTCGAGCCCGACAAAATGTGCACGCAATGCTGACACGCTGGCGAGGTGATTGTAGATTGGAGTGAGGGACGGTCGCGCTACCCGTGCGTGATTCGCTGGTTAGATGGCGGCGCCCGCGCCGACGAGGAGGCAATGGGCAGTGCGCTTGTTCGGCTGGCGATAGACTTGATCTTGACAGAGATATGAGAGGCTCAGCCTGATAAGCTGGAGCTCCATTGAGCATTTCTTCTGGCCCGGGGAGGACTACCGTCGGTCGCCCTAGGGAAAGAGCCGTACATTGAACCTGGTGAAGATTGGTCGCCGCCTCTTCATAAGACATCGGGTAGAGTGCTCGGCGGTTAAAATTTAGTAGAGGCTTGTCATGAATGGCTGCTGCATGCCCGGAATTCAGGCCGTCATTTACCTAGGTTTGTGACATTCGAGGGAATAAAATAGGGATCAGCAAACAGGTTCCGGTATTTTTCAACCATGAGACAATTATAGTAAGGTGAGCAGCAGAAACGATCGCTGGTCCACTCATTCAAACTGCCAATCCTTCAGCATTAGTAAAAGATAAGGGAACTGACCGTAGACGAGCAAGTATTTGTGGGCGATGGCTGAGATACTGGGGAGCCGAACTTGGCGGTCATCAATTCCAAACTCGGGCCGGAAGAGAGCATCATGAATGACTGTACTGCTGATTAAGTGGAGGTTCAGAGACAGTTTATGCTCGGAGGAAATCGAGTAGAGGGGCTCTCTTGGATATCTTCGAGAAGGCTGGGTGGGGTACTTGAAGCTCTACTGTAGATGATGGAGGATTCAAGAGGACAGGATAGAGTCTAATGGAGTCTGACCTCGGATGAATGATGTCGATGGAAAGTAGATCTATGTGGACCAATCCCGACGGGGCGCGAAATAGGTTAAGTAAAAGCGGGTGATGCAGATCAGATCAGCCACCCACTTGAGTATATAGAGGTGAGCCAATCTGGATTTATTATAAACAACTGTTACTGAACATCAAAGATGTCATTTGCATAGAAAAAAACAAACTCCCCAAGCCGGCTTCAGGCAATTGGAATTTGGATGGCAGCGGGTAGACCGACCGAGGTCTTCAATCTGAGTCTTGAGTGGTTGATTGTTAAGTAGATAATATGTACTGGTACCTCCTGCTACTGCTAAATAAATGTGGTATTTGAATTGAAGTATGTAGACTCTATCACTTAAAGGTTTGACAAAGGACAAGGAGTACAGAGCGGAGACTCGAGAGAGGAGAAGAATGGAAGTGTGAGTTTCCCTGGTATGTAAATATGTAAATAATTAATAGTCTACAGGCACGTTCTGTAGAAAAAAAAATCGGGCAGTAACAAACAATCGGCAAGCAGTGTTGAGAGAATGGGACTGCGCGATTGATATGAATTATGAATTGAACACATAGAATGTATTGTATCACTGTTTGTTGCGATTTTCAGTATGATGTGTACAAAAAAGTGAGTGTAGGTTGTATCCATCCATCGATTATTTTGGGTTTCTAGTGTATTTGTACATAAATAAATACATCCTTCATCCACACTCTAAGTTCAAATTGCGTTTCCCCTGAAATCCACTGAAACCTCACCAACAGGATGCCATCCTGGATCCTTACAAGCTCAAGATGGAGAAGAATGCTCACTCCTCAAATCTTCTGTATGCGTGTGTAGATGCATCAACATTACCTCGGGATCAACCCGTTGCCTGTCAACTCCATGTCATGTCGAGTTACCAAGCCTGTACATACGCCGAGGGAGCCGCGAGCTAGGCATTCGTATGAAGCGTTTAGCCTTTTAAACCTTCCTGCTCTTCATCATGCGGCCCTGGTCCAGGCTTCCAAAGGCGGCAGTCACGTAGGGTAAACTGGTGGAGAAGGTGGGCCGAGGTGAGTTAATTACATAAATGAAGAAGTAAATAAATATTTAAATACATATCATCTGTTACGATACATACAGCGAACTTCGGCACCGGTATTGGCAATGCAATGTGCACATATCCTCATGAGCTTGATCTACGACTGGAGTCGTGACAGGATGAAGGTGTAACATGAATCTAGCTCGCCATATCAAAGATTCAAAATGCATGTGGTCGATGGTGAAAAACAAACATACAGACTCCAGAGTCGGCGAAATTGCATGAGTGCCAAAGAAACGGCAGGCTCAAAAAAGAAGCTGTGGCAAGGTTGACGAATCCGCTCCCAGCGCCCCACAACCAAGCACAACCCCGCCCGATTAAACGTCTGCTGGTTATGGATATATAATGCGTTGAAGGCCTTGGAGGTTTCAAAAACAGATCGAACCTAATCATTCGAGGAGAAGAGTATAGTTATGTCTTTGGTAGGTTGCAGTGGAATTTAAATTAGTATTGAGGTTTTCGTTTCCCTCAGATTAGCTGTGATCTTCCTGTCTCTGGAGTATTCCTTTCGGAACTCTTCGTTTTCTCTATCTTAATATCCGATCGGTAACGCCCCAACTGATTCGAACAACACGGTAGCTTGGCGCTAGATTGTAACTGAGGAAGAGGCGATAATCACGCACCCGGATGAGTTTGATTCATCTGGCGCACATGCACAAATTTTCTGGTTTTGGGGAATTTTGTGCTGTTGTTACATAACCTTTTTTGTACAGCTGTTCCCAAAAACCTTGCGGTTTTGGGAGCGCTGTATTTCAGAAGATTTTTTTTTGCGCCTCTCTTTTTAGCGCCGCTCTCTCCTGTACGTGGCCCTGTATGGCCACAGTACTGCAGGCAAGAGTACCCAACTCCCTCAGTTTTCGAGTTGAGGGTATGGGAGTTGGATCATCGTGATCCTCTCGATTTTTTGGTTCGGAGCCGGTCATCAGGTAGGGGCTTGCCCCCCCCTGCCTGGCAGCTGGCAGGCACCCGGACCTACACCAGGGCCTCGGCAGCCAAATCACAACCTGTACCGTCATCTGTACAGGCCGTGAGGCGTAAAAAGTTGGTGGTGCTAAAAAAATTCTTCTGAAATACAGCGCTCCCGAAACCGCAAGGTTTTTGGGAACAGCTGTATTATGAATTGTTCGGTACTTTATTCGCACTCCTGCTTCGAGTTTTTTCAGAGCAAGCAAAATTACAATTATTGGCTGGTTTCTTGACTTGAGGAAGTCGCCTGTTGGGAGGTACATAGACTTGACGCGTCATTTGGAATGAAGACGCCACTTGTCGGCTAAAACATCTTCCCATCCACGCTCAAAAAGATACGACACAATAGCGCACCTTCACGTACAATTCGCCGCTGTCGCGTTTTCCCGTGACACGTGGCTCTTCCGGTTGGGCTTCTCAATGCAAACATGTTGTACTATAACCTACATGCGCTCGAATGAGAATATGCTTGTACGTTACCATACGTAGTATGCACGCATGATGATATGATACAGGCACCTTTGTGCAAACATTCGCTGATTGGGTCATGACCATGAATCCATGATCAACCTTATGTTGAAATTCCATTGAAGGGTTTGTCGCGGGCTGCATGGCGGCCAAAATCGTGCTGAGCTAAACTGAATACTGATCAAAGTCCAAAATTGTCTTTTTGAGCGGGCCCCGATGTCTAGCTTGGCATTTTGAACGAGGTCAGGTGGAATTCCCTCCCCAAAGACTAGAGTAGTTGCGGTATTGGCAGTTGCAATGGCAAACTCGCTGGAGCACACGACCATACGATCCTGCGGTTAGATCAAATATGGAAGAGTTAAAAATTCACGTCGGGTATAGATTGTCGCAGGAACGAATTTCAAAGTAGCACTACTGGCGATGTTTTTCATAAAACAGGAGAAAAAAATCTTGCCGTGGCGGGCCGGCAGCGGTTTGTGTGTAGGACCATTGAGACTTCAGATTCGCAGCTCCAGTCAAAGACCCTGTGAGCGCGTCACAGCGTATATTTTGTCGTAACAGAACCTTGATTATCGTAAACTTCCCGATGTATCGGTAGCCAAGTCTAGACGAGGAAAGCACCTGGAAATACACTATTTCCGGTGTTACATATTCATATAACTTGCTGGCATCTCTAGCCAATTTCCGAAGATAACGCAGCACCTTTTAAATCTCATGTTATGAATGTATGTGCCAGTGGAGTTGGCGAGGAGTGCAATATAGTGAACTTCAATATGGTTAGCCTTGAGTTGATCACGATGGGCTTAGACCAAAGGCCAAACAGGGTAGGGAGTTCTGGGCATGTAGGGTACTGCCTACTTTTCAGACGTGGCCCGCGTCAAAATGACAATTGCCGAAACTGGCACGATCTATCAGGCTGCATTCACCGCGGCCACACGAATAGCATGTGGCACTATGCAGATGATGTATGCTTTTGATTACGGGCGAAAGGTTTTCATAGGAAGCGGCCGGGACGCAAGCCGGGGCCATAAATTTGGTTCGCTTTGCCCTGAAGTAGTGATCGAAGGGTGCCTCCGCGGCTTTCATTCATCGACAGAAAGACAGCAAAAAGATCGCGGTATGCCGAAGATGGTGGAAATTGTTACGACTGAGTGACATGTTCGCAAAAAGGGCGTAACCGCGATTATCAGCGACTGGCCAGTTGATTCGCTCAAAAAAATTGCTTGCAACCTTCAAGCCTAGATAGGAGAGGGACATACATCGAAAGGAGGGCGCTAGCTCTCCCTAACACGGTTAGCACAGAACCAAGGTTTAAATTTGCGGATAACCACCGGTCACGATCATGTACAATGTCGCAGAAACTAGCAAATTATTTTCCCCAAATTGGGCTTATCGGGCGGACTAGAAAATGACAACCACTAGTGATAATAACGTATTTTATCAGTTCCGCGTTCCTGATAGTTTCTGGTTCTGCTGTGATTTAGACAGGACCGAAAAAAAAAAACTAAAACAAATTGTCAAATCATGGGATCACCCGACTTGAGCTTGAGTTTTATTCGCCTCTTGACCAAGGCCCAATTCGATGGCCTAAGTGAAGCCATGATCCGCTCATGAGGCTTTAAAACATCGAGACCTGAATGCAATTGAAAAAAAAAATTAAGTTGGTATTGTATCCTGGCTTAACATGAAGTTGGTATCCTGGCTTAACCCCAACACCTCGTTCCCGAGGGCCGGGACACCCCGGCGCGCCAGGCAACGCTGGGCCAGCTACGCTAACCGTAGCGGTTAGCGCAGCGTAACGTAGCGGAATTCCACGCAACTTTAGCGTAGCGTAGCGGGATTCCGCCACGACACCGCTAACGCTACGCGTGTGGGCCGCAAAAAAGGGCCCACTACGCTGCGCTACAGCGCTTTTTAGCGGTTTTTGGCCGCTTTTTCCGCTAAAAGCGCTGTAGCGCAGCGTAGCGTAGCGAAAAACCGCTACAAAAACGCTAACACTACCGCTTTTGGATGAAAAAAAAGCGCCGCTACGCTACGCTTTTTGGGCCAAAAGCGTAGCGTAGCGTAGCGGCCCACCGCTGCGCCAGGGTTACCTTGCACAACAAGCCTCTTTCAGATTACAAAGGCTCACTTAGAGCATCCGCATCAGTGTGCGGATTAGGCAGGATTAGCTGCCTAATCTAATCCTCCCAACCATACCGGTTGGGATTAGAGAGTGGATTAGGTTAGCTCCAGGGTCAATTTTGGAGCTAACAGGTATTAAATTTATACCCCACTAATCCTTGGATTAATGAGGTCGCTAATCCTCACTAATCCACTTAACCAATGCGGATGCTCTAAGTTAGTGCCAGCCGGGCTGTACCAGGCCCTCCATTTGAGGGGCTTGGGTTAAATTGAATGAGGTTCAAGTTCACGTTTGACAGGGGAAAAAGGTAAAGTCTTGATGTGAGATCCCCATGACAATCCACGTCATAAGTCTAAGGGCCTGTACCACAGCCCCAATTTTCAGGTCAATTTCCAATTTCCAGGTTGGAAATTGACTTTGCCAGAAATGGTGTACCATGCACACCCAATTTCCCACAGTACAGCAGCCAGGTTTTCAGTGCCAACCCCAAAATGAATTTTGGTTGGTGAAAAATAAAAAGATCAAAAATGAAAATGAAAATTGGCTGGGGTGCTATGGTACAGGCCCTAACAAATGTAGCAATATTTGGGGCCTGATGAGTTGCTTCTGCCTGGCTGGAGTAATAGAAAACAAACACCACTCATTCTTCAAGACTGTACAGCTGGACTGATCTTTTGATTCATGAAGTATTAGCTTGTAGGGTTTTGCCATTCCCACTTCTAGCCATTTAGCTTACTGCCCCAATCCCCAAAAAGTTTGATTATCTTTTGTAGCTGAATTGCACAATGGAGGACTTGAGGTCAGTTTTGGAAGTGGATTGACATTTGAATTTCCAAATCCAAAGCTTAACTTGTTGATGAAAATTGTTCTTTGTCAAGTTCTAATAACAAAGACAATTTTTATTTTGTCATTTGAAACAAAAGATCAACTCCAATGGCCTTTCACTGGACAACTTCCTGTCAAATCTGCGGGTCTCCCAGAAGCAATTGAGAGGCCTTGAAAGCTAGATTTCCCAGCAAAATTCTAGACTTTTTGGGTCTAAATCAACATCTGCAAGGGTCCCAGATCCAACAGGAAGTCCTCCACTTGCCTTATCAATACTTTTTGAAAATATATCAATACATGAATACATATTGATGTGGAAATTGGTCAACATCTTTTGTACCTCAGGAAGCATAGAAGAAGTCAAGTACACATCATCCCTGACATGATTTCCCAGATGGGAAATCTGATTTTTTAGATTCTCTAAATTTTCTAGATTTTTGCAGATGTTTTAGATTTTTTCAGAATGTTTAGATTTTTCTAGATTTTTTAGATTTTTCTAGATTTTTTAGATTTTTCCAGATTTTTGAGATTTTTCCAGATTTTTTATATTTTTTCAGATTTTTCAGATTTTTTAGATTTTTCTAATTTTTCCAGATTTTTTAATTTTTTTCAGATTTTTTCAGATTTTGTCAAATTTTTCAACTTTATAGATGTCTACTAGTAAAAAAAGTACACTCTCAGCCGTTGAGGGTATACACCCTTGACGGCCGGCAGGAATCCTCTTGGCTGTCAAGAGTGTATACCCTCAACGACCAGGAGGTACACTCTCGGCCGTTGAGGGTATACATTCTCAATGACCAAGAGGAAACCCTCTCAGCCGTACATGTTTCCTCTTGGTCATTGAGGTGTACACCCTTGATGGCCGAGAGGTTTCACTTGGCCGTTGAGGGCTCCACCTCCAACGGCCGAGAGTTTTCTCTTGGCCGTTGAGGTCTCAATGGCCGAGAAGTTTCCCTCGGCCGTTGAGGTGTACACCCTTGACCTCCATGAGAAACCCTCTCGGCCGTTGAGGGTTATACTCAACGGCCGAGAGGGTTTTATCTTGGCTGTTGAGGTTGTAGACCCTCAACGGCTGAGAGAAATTCTCTTGGCCATCAAGAGTACTCTCCACGGCTGGGAGGAATCCTCCCGGCCGTCAGTTTTTTTTTTTTGGTTCTGGCATTGACACCCAAACCCCGCCGGGGGTTTTCTTTTTTTATTTAAATTATTTTGGAGGCCGACTCCCAAACCCACTGACAGGTTTGGGGAATTGACTCCCAAATTTTGGGGAAACCCGGGTTTGGGAGTCGACTCTCCGATATTTGGGAGTTGGTTGATCAACTCCCTAAAAAAATCTGGAAAAATCTAAAAAATTTAGAAAAGTCTAGAAAATCCAGAGGGTCTTAGCTAATTGACTCCCAAACGTCAAGGACATCCTATGGACCGTCTGCAGACTGTCCTGGGACGTCCAAATCCCTTATTTTTTTCCCCCAAAAGGTTTGGGAGTCAATCCTCCAAAATTGTTGTTTTTTTTGGGAGTCGAGTATACAAGAAAAAATATTAAAAAAAAAAAATAATTGGGGGTTTGGGAGTCAAGCCTCCAAACTCCTGCAGTTGTTTGGGAGTCGGACCCCCAATTCCGACCCCAAAAATCCAAAAAATTTAGAAAAATCTAAAAAATCTGGAAAAGTCTTTTTTTACAGGATTTCCCTAAAATTTACAAGATTTCCCATCTGGGAAATCATGTCAGGGATGATGTGGTAGCAAGTATTTCCCCTTGTGCTATTAACAAGTCAAAGTGATCTTAACCCATTTGTTCTCTTAACTGAAGGTTAAGGAGGAGGGCAAAGACACTTTGAATAGTTCATATTTACCATCAGTTTCCTCTCAGTCTTTTCCCATATCAACATTTCCTTTACTTCAATCATATACAAATATAAAAACTTACAAAAATATCTCCCAGCTTTTCAAATCTTTCCATTATCTGATTCCAGCCTGCTGTAAACCACACCAAATTCTTTTCACTCAAAATTCAAGTCTCAGCTGATTCCACATTGATCTAGGTTTGATAAGAGACTGCTACGTATAGTTTTCTCCATAAACAGTTTTTGCCACAACAATAAAATAAATTTGTTGTCAGAATTCTAGTGTAGTACATTAGAGGGGAAGGTCTTTCAAACCACCCGTAACAGTATTGATAGCTTCATACATACCTGAAATATTATAGCTGCTACTTCCCCATTGCAGGACTGCCACCATTCCCAAAGGAGTTCTCACAATGACCAAACTTTGCAATTTTTTTTCAGCGCCCCCAACTGCCGTGTAGATACTACCTCTGACACCCGTAATTCTTCTAAGACTGACAAGAGGACACACATTTTTGGTATGTGTATGTCAGCTCATAATTTCAAGAGGAACCCCCTTGGTAGGCCAGTAAAGGCTTTTCCACCCTGGAAAAACAAGGTTGTATTGATTACCTTGCCAAGCAATATACTCTTTGTTAATTGATAGACTAAAAGATGTATTTCATGAGCACAGCTGAAGAAATACAATAAAAGAAAAAGATGAAAAACGGTGATCACCTATAAGCAGTAGATGACAAGTGAGAAGAACAACAATAGTGATGTGATGAAAATGGAAAGAAAAGAGATCTGAAAAATGAATGTGGTTAATACATGATTGTCAAACAAGACAAGAGATCCATAGCAATGACCTACATGGAAGGGGTCTTAGAAAGGTGAGGATTGACGGGATCATTGAATAGAAGGGATGGGATTGAATGAAACAATCAAGTGAGCTATGATGATGATGTTAGAGAATATTGTACGTCAGACAAGATGGTGAAGAGACTCAGAAATTTGAGACTGATGATTGTTGGTCAACAGGCAATGAACTATGTCAAAAGATAGAGAGGACACGGTGAGGTAAGATCAAGGTGTCAATGATGGAAGAGAGAAAATAGAGAAGATAGTTGAGAAAGAATAGGGTGAGATGTGGTGATCAATGATGGAAATGAGTGAGGAATATAATCAGGATTATTCCTAAGGAAGAAAGAGCGAGGAACGTCCTTGGAAACCAAGGATGATAAGGAAAAGGTGAAGGGACTGTGCAAGAGATGATAACCGTGCAGAAGATTTAGAAGGTTTGAGAACAATGATGTCATCACCAAGGCTTGAGCAAGATGACATCATGATTTCGATATTGAGGGAAAAAAGAAACAGGGGCTAAGCAAGTTCAGGAGTGGGGCTTAGACATCAACACTCTTTTTGTCAAGTTGATGTATATATAGATCAGATTTCCATGCAAGAGGAGTCCCCAAAAGAGCTGGTCAGTGGGATGAATATGGAGGACTACTTTTCTGGATAGCTGCTACATTTTTCTACCAACTTTTTTCAAGAGTTATTCATTTTTGTGAAAAACACCTGATACTTGCATTCCAAATTTCCATGAATGATTCTTCCATTATCATAAAAAACGTTTTCTAGGAAGGGAAAACATCATTGCTAATCTATAATCCCTCATGGTTTGGGATTGGGTTTTGCTACTGCCAGCAAGTCTGAATTGGGCAGCCCATAATCCTACACCATCTCTGGAGTTTGTGAAATTCTCATCTGCTCAACAAGCTTGGAGGACTTTTGGCACAAACAATTGGGTTTGTTAGTTGTCCTCCAATGATTCTTTCTGGTGGGATATAAGACACCAATCAATTTTCATTTGTTGAATTTTTCTTGAGTTGAAATGCTTAAGCTAGTCTCATTACTACTTCATGACTTTGAGTATCTTTATAAGGTGCATGAATACTGCAGGGAAAACACAACTGAAGCCGCCCGGTATGTGTTTGATCTATTATTTCATGGGACGAAAGACATGTCAAATACATGGGTATGTGTAGTAACAAACAAAAAAGATTAAGTGGTGGAAGATTGGGGTGTCAAGCTGAAGCTAAATTGCATTCCAATAGACCAGTCTGATAAAGTCCAGTGACAATCAACTTATTTTCGGGATTCGGATGATCGGAATCGACGCGTGAATCAGATTGAAGATTCAATTCGGATTTAGGAATGATGATAGCGCTAGTCGAAGAGGCGAAGAACTGGCCATCATCGACCAAGACGTTATGAACCTGAGTTCGGTGAGGATTCAATGGTTCGTCGGGATCGGATAAGTGTAAGACGACGGCAACGGAGCTACCAGCCGGTTTAGCATTTTGAAGGTTCCATGAGAATTTGAGCAAGCTCAGGCCATGGGGATGACCAGCAGCGATCAACCTTTGTGGCCCATCAAAGTGGATGTTATCGGGCGCAAAGCTGAGCTTTCGTGAGCCGATCGGATTGAACGCCAGTCGCTGGTTCGAGCCCACAGGCTTGACTTGGTGGTAATACCACAGGTTTTGAGTGATCGAGCACGCTACGACTAGGGTTGATTTACTTGGATTTAATGTTAAGCCGTTTGCAAACGGGATCCCTTCAATCGTCTTCCAGGCCTCCACATTCTCCCATGCAGCAGCGTCGATATCATGGTCGGTTTTATGGAGCTTTTCCTTCGGCTGATCAGTGAATCTTACTTCTACCACACTACCACCCCTGATAGTTAGCCAGGTTTCAAGAATGTGAAGGGCGGGGTGGGCACGACGATTGAAGTAGTGGTCATTGGTGACAAGAAAGGAGTTCGAATCGATTGCGACAATAGCGTTGGGAGTTGAGATCAAGTGATGAGCCAATGTGCGTTCCCACGTGAGAGATAGCTTTCGAGCCTTTGAATCTTCAGATGGCGAGTTGAATTCGAGCTTGAAGACTTCGATCACACTCCTATCTCTACGGTGGTTGACCAGGAAGAGTCTGGCAGAGTTTTTGTTGAGCTGATGAAGCTCCAAACCAAGCGGATGGAAATCTTGACCGGCCGGAAAGCCAGTTAAATCGAGCTCGTAGACCCGGTCATGGGATTGCTGAGTGGGCTCGTTTTCGAGGATGTGGTATACAAACAGTTGACCTCTTGGATCGGGATTCTTGAGTGGTCCCTATTCATAGAGGATACAATTCAAGAATGATTAGTGCTTTGAAAAGAAGCGCAAGGTAAATTATCCGAGCACTGAAAGTACAGGGAGACTGACTGACCAGGACGGTATTCCACTCCGGGCGACCTTGATCACAGCTTGCAATGGCCACGCCGGCATCTTTCCAATGCAAGAGATCTTCGCAGTACTTCAGCGAACCTGAAGGATGATGAACGATCTTGCATGAGTCGTTTGAGTGCTGAGTACCATTTAGAGATTTCAGCTGAAGCCTTGGCAACTCAGGTGCAGGTACTCGTTTGAGGATCGGACGAAGCCAAAGCGCCGTCAAGACAGCCAGGAGTGGGAAAACCTACGACAAGATGACAAAAACCATCGATTGTTTGATACTGTCAGACTTTGCCGATATTATACAGTCTGACGACCACCAACAATGAAAAGAAAGCTCACCAGGTTTCTGATCGGCCGGTCAGTCAAAGACATCTTCCCTCTATGTATAGCGTTGAAGTCCAAGAAAACAGGGGACAGATGATATTGATTACGAAGAACAAGTCGAGCAAAGGCTAATCGACGGAAGCACAATTGTTTTCACAGCAGGATAAGGATACATCGGAAGGAACAACAAGGAAGATGGCTGAATCCTGGAATCCGAGGAACAAGCTGAGAACAAATAAGAAACAAACCCTCTGCCACCACACTCAACCCAACACCAACAATTCTTCAGGAGACAGACATATTTACATGGGATGGACAGGACTGGAGTTCCTCAACAAGTTTGATTCTTGATCGATATATCCACTTTGATCTCATAAACCATCATGATCGAAAGACTCTTGGCCCCATATCAAAACAAACTGCAACTCACGAACTCGTATTTGTTTGCTTGAAATTTCCTCATGGCCGGGCTATTCATTCCCCCCGAGGAGTTGCTTATGTCTACATGTGTACCTTTCCCCCAAGAGAAAAAGATAACCAAACCTATGGATCGGATATCTCCCAAGAGATCTTCATTTGACCAGGAGGGAGGCATAAATAAAATATTTAACCGAATCGTAGGTTCAGCCCATAAAAAAAACTCTATCAGCTCTGACTCAAAATTCAATCATCAAAGCTTCAGGTCTACTACATACAACAAATGTCTGTCTCCTGCTAGAAATATCCCTTGAAGCTCTAGACTAGAAAGATGAAGCAGGGTTAAACTTGAAACTGATCTTTCAGGAACTTCTACCACCCCAAGGGCATAGTTAGACGATTCCCTACTAGGATCACTAGACTGCATGGCGTACACTCCTCTGAGGCCATATGTATGTAAGAAAAAATCTGCGGAACACAAGCTTGCAAAGTTAGCACACCAGACTTGGTGTAACTAGGGCTGCATCGCTAGAATGCTTCTTCTAGAACTATGGGTCGATAGTCACCCAATTCTCTATCCGTGAATTTGCTTGACATCACGCTTTTCTAACTCAGCTTTACGTTCATATTTCTCGTAGAAAGACTGAGGTTGTCTCCGATAATACTATTACCCAGAAGGGGGAGAAAAAAAAAACTACAAGGCCATGCCGGAGCTGAGTCACAGCTGGCTTCAAGTTCTCCCCATATTAGATCAAATTAAATTCTCTTCCCTCCCCTCGAATTCTGAGGATTCTTGAAACGCAGTGACTTCAGACCAGGGAGAAATTTCTGACTTCTATATACCGTCAGAGATAACACATCTTTCATAAATACTATATACACCTTCCGATCACTTATTACTCAAAACCATCATGAACAAATCTGATCAATCCTCCCCCTCTTCACCTCAAAAGTCTCCAGGGGAACCTAGTCCAGTGGATAAATATTTCCAGGTCAGCAGCAACTATCGCTTCGGTTCTGATCACGATCGCAGATGGCCTTATGATATCATATTCCTTGTCATTCCTGCCTCAGCAATTAACCTCAATAGATCTCGAGTACTTCAAAGAATTCGTTCCAGCCTACTCAGATTTTGATCAAACGATCGTGAGTTTCAGAAATTAGCTATCTGAAGATTTGCTTGATAGCAAGAGGACCCGCCGATAGATGTCCCCTGATCGATATCCATTCTCATATATTTTATTTTGACAAATGTGGATGTAGGTTCAAGCAATCGTAACCGATGTTTTCAAGCTTGAACGCTCAGGATTTCAGTGCATCAAGCAAACAAAGAAATCTCCAAGAGCCTCGCTTCCCTTACAATCGGATTGGCTCAAGTTGATCGAAGATAAAGATAGGCATGTCGGCCAGGAACGGGTTGTGGTCCAGGTGATGGATCATGAAAAGGACGCAACGATACGTCCAACAAAACAATTCGTCCATCGATTCACTTGATGGTTCTCAGCTTGGCTGAATTCCACCCTCAATTTCGGATCAACTCCGGAATGCGCTTCGATCGTGAACAAAGGCGTCAGAGGCAAACACGTAATCGTTCACGTAGCTCGTCCAAACAAAACACTTCCAAATAATAAAACTCAGGTTCTTTCGAGGCTCAAGCTGGGATTATCTATCTTCTCTTTAATTCATGTATTTCTTACTTATCCCCTGTGTTTTAATAATCCCAACATCGGATTTATCCACCACATCCATGTCTACCAACCTATCATTCGTCTTCTTCTTCGTTCAAATGTATTCCTCTCGGCATTGCAATCGGGAAAATCCCACGAAGCAAAAAAAAACAAATCACTTGATCATACAATTCATTCGTCACTTATAATCCATTGTGAAAATCTTGATCGGTTCATCAAGAGAAGGAATCAAGAAAATTTAGAGCGCAGATAACAGCACTGATATTTGACATTAAACAACTCGGATAAACTAACATGATTGAAGTATGAATGCTCGTGACCAGGAACATGACAATAAATTGGGAAAGATCATGGGTTGAGGTTTGTCTTATCTAAGTTTGGCTTGGCCAAGCCCTTTTTCAGATGAAGGTTAACCCCACTCAAAGTGGAGAAGTGGGGAGTTTGCTAAGATCTTCAAACACTTGACCATCAAATTTGATGTATTGTAAGCCACTTGATCAAGCACAAGATCATGTGATGAGACACTTCATGGCATCATTAGGAGCAGAAATCACATCTTATGAAACTTGGGATAAATACTTGCAAGAGGTGGAACATATACAAAAGGATTTATCAAAGCAACTTGATTACATCTGTTTCATTTCAGATTATTCAGTTTATGCTTGAATTTGTTTTCCTACAGCACATGCAGAGGGAAGTTGGGACCAAAAAAAAGGACAGTGTACTTAGCCTGAGGTTAAATTCAAATTTGCCACATGAAGTTTCCTCACACGTCAGGTGGAATAATCAGGTAATACTGCCACAAGATGGAATGATACAACTCATCATCAATCTAGCCAGTACATGCACATTTGATTTTGGACCTAAGTAATTCACAGTTTCAATTTTGAAGCCTCCCTATCATAGTGGGAAATCACTTGACATCAAAATAGATTCAAATTGGGTAATCAAACTATCACCATGAATTGGAACTTTTTTAACCCACAGTTTCAATTTTTTTAAACTACATGGGCTTGACCAGAAAGTCAAAAACAGCACTGCAAAATGCTGTGATGACCAGTCTGTCTTGGATTTCATAGTGGAGACTGAGCAATGCCCCGAACAGGTCATGCCTATGTTGGTTTGACCCATCCAACTCAAGTTTCATGCCAAAAATCCCAACACAGTTGTCATGACACTCAAGTCACCAAACATCATGCATCTTCCTATGCCAATCCCATTTATCTCCAACAATCAATCCAACAGCATTGGTGGGCCTTGCATGAAACAGCTGTTGGCTCAGCTGAAAATTAAGAAACCAGTTGACAGGACTCACTCATTCAATTAATGTGTGTCTGAGCAAGCAAACCAACACAATTGCCTGGCCAAGCCCTTGTTGGCACATTTCTAGCAGTTTTAGTGGGTGTAACCACCACACCACACATCAGCATAACTTTTTGATTGGTTAAACTAAAAGTTAGAATAATGGTTCACTCACTTACACGAACAGTTAGTGTAACAGATAAAAAAGTTTTGCTGATAGTTAGTGTAAATAATTTTAAATTGTTACCATTGGATATAATTAAAGAGTCCCATGGTGAGGCTCATCACTTGCTCCTGAAACCAAGCATGCAGTTCCAACCTCTTCTTTTGCTTTTTGCAAGTGTTTTACAACTTATATAATCTATTCACATTTCTGACATGGCCAGCAGCCCCAAGTAGAAATTTGTTAAGGCCCCAAGATCACACACATCCCACAGAATATGAACAGATAAATGTGTAACTTTCACAAAAAAAAAGAAGCAAAGAAAAGCAGAAGTGAAGAAGAGCAAAACAACACAGTTAGTACATGTCCTCTGATTTGTGCAATAATGGTCTGATTGCCTCAATTTGTGTTTTTTTTTGAAGGCTGTAATCAAGGGCTACAAATTTTTCAGCAAGTATACCCCCAAAAACAAATGTTTGCTGAGATCAAATTGATTGAAGTTAGCTCAATGTAATACAATAAGAGACCTAAGTTTGAGAAGAGGGAGTAAGCTCAAGAGATTTGTGGATTAGAGGATAATCACAACCTCCATTCTATTAGAATGGAGGTTGTTATTATAAATATTGAATTTAAATGAGGATTAGATTTAAGTTTGATGATGAAAGATCTTGATGGGGTCTTTCTTCAATTAGAAGAGATCAGAGATCTGACATCCTTCCCCTTGTTTGATCTTTGACTTCAAACCCAGAACCCATGCAGTGAAAATGTCACAGACATGTACATGTAATTCTCTGGCTCAAAAAAAAAAAAAAAACTCACCACAGACCAGTCCTCATGTAGTGCTAGTCACACAGCTGGAAATCTGTTGTTGCTGCACCTTGCTGATGACTGTGCATGCTGATACAGGTCCAATGCCAGCAACAGGTGTTTCAGGAAGGGATATGAAAAAGTCAATTGAAAGCTGTGTAATGTGGTCAGGGATGGTGTCTGGACATGTCACTAACCTTTGATGTTGAGAGTTCAATTCCACCTCAAGGCATGCATTTGTAATATTTTGTCACTTGAAAAGTTTCAAAAGCCCAAGATTGTTTAGTGTAGCTATATCTGTATTGGAGAATAGTGTAGTACTAGTTATGCTAAATGTTAGTGTCAACTTATTTACACTATCTGTCAGTCAATTTTTTTTTTCACAAAAAAGTTACATGACTTGTTAGTTTAGCAGTGATTTTTTGAAGGTAACACTAAAAAAATATTTGAGAGCAAAATTTCACACCACACTGGCAGTTATCTCAGTTTAGTGTGAGCCAACACTACAGATTTTACAAAGAGAAAAAGACTCTACACTAACAGTTAATGCTCAAATAGTGTAGAGTAGCATAGTGGCCCAATATTGACTCTGGGGATGGATTGACCAAGAGCTCAATAGCCCTGTGTTATAATTCTGATATCTTTTTACTCATCCCCCATCCCAAAAGTTATACATTTCTTAATTGATCACAATCACATTGCCTAATTTTCCCTTTCATTAAAACCTGTTTTTAGTCTAGTTTATGCATTTTTGATCCAGCTTCTTGTAGTCAAAGAACCCTGAAGAATAGGGCTTTTCAGCTCTCTAGCAATGGTGGGCCAGCTACGCTAACCGTAGTGATAGTGTAGCATAGTTTAGCTAAAATAAGCTAACATTTAGAGCATCCTTATCGGTTGGGCTAACTCAGCCCGCGGCTAAAGTCCAAGTTGAAGCAAGTTAACTTAGCAGGGGTGTTTCAGCCGCACTGGTATTGGCTAAACCAACAGCAGCTTGATAGCTCAGCAAACCATGATCAGGAACAATTCAACAACACCTCCTTGAGGAACTGTTTGGATTGGAAACGGAGGATGAAGAAGACAAGGAAGACAGAATAATCGTTGTACCCTCCGTGACTCGTTTGAAAAACTTGGCTCTCTTTTGACCGGTTGACATGATTGGGTCCTCAGATATCTTAAGCCAGCTTTTTGCAAGCTGTTGGTCTTCTGTTGGAAGCCAATTGGCACTTCGAGTCGGCATGGTAGATGTGTGGCTGTATAGGAGAATCAGGGTGGATGGTTGCTATGTAGAGAGATATCTGGTCTTCCAGCAACTCATGGGCTCTAGCTCACTGTTTAGCTCATTGGCTAACCGTTGCTACATGTAGCAAGGGTTAGCCAAGATCTTAGCTTCAAGCTGACTTAGCTCTGGGTTAGCTTGAACCGGTGCGCTTGAATTTGGTGGCTAAGTTCCTTAGCTTGAGCTAAACTAGCCACCGATACGGATGCTCTTAGTGTAGTGTTATCACAATTCTGCAATTCTGTACTAATACTATGTGTGCAGGGCCCCAAAGTTTGTTAGCTTTTAGCGTAGCATTAGTGTGATTCCACACATCTGCGCTAACACTATGGACACAGGGCACAAAAAAGCACCCACTATGCTGTGCTACAGCGGTTTTTAGCGGCTTTTTGGCTTTTTTTGCTGCTACAAGCGCTGTAGTGTAACACAGTGTAGAGGCAATAGCGGTGCGCTAACACCACCATTGTCTTTAGCTAAACTTTTATTCTTTTCTGAGCTCTCTCTTGTTGGTGCATATCATATTGAATTTTTCTTCTTCTTTTTTTTACTTTTCTTTATGCTTCCAACCACATTTTGATCATCTTTGTATCTAGTCCATTTCAGCCAGCTGGTCAAAAGGAAGTCGAAGATAATTGGTTCTTCACCTTCCTTTTCTGCCTTCTGCCAAAATAGAAACTTTCCAGTGAGAAAACTTTCTTTCAATATCACATCTTGAAGAATGATTATAAATGAAAATCTTGGAAAAATTGGTTTCCAGATGGCTTCAAACAGCTGTTGAGTGGGGCATTCACCAGCCCAGATTTCAGTAAAGCACTACTAGAATTTACTGTTTTGGCTCCAATCTGGACAAACCTTTTTTGGTTCCAATTTTCTTTCATTTATAATCATTCTTCTAATGTCCCAATCTTCCTTTCTCTCAGCACTCTCACTCCCCCAAAGTGAATTTCAAAGCTTTTGAGAAAAATAAATTTTATTTTTTATTTTTCACAAATTTTGAAACTTTATTTTTTGTTTTTATTTTTTCATATTCATTTTTTACAACCTATTCTGCACCACCTGACCAAGTCTCATGAATTCAAGTCTGTGTTTTGGAGCTCTGGAATCCAATAAAAGCAGCCACTTTCCACTGTCTACCCACTGTACCACCAGCCAAAACCCCTCATGTATTCACTATTCTTCCATCTTGGCCAAATTCCCTCATGTAAGGCTGCACAACCAGCCAAAATCCCTCATTGTTGTCTATATAAGGAGGCTCTTCCTCCCAGTTGTAATTTCTCCCCAGCAGACTTCCTGCATTCATTTATCCACATAACAGGCAAATCACTGCTCACTCCATAATATTACTTGTCCCCCAATATATTGGTTTTACAATTATAACAACCCTTACATACAATATTACAACATCTTTACACATAACAAAAACCATTTCAGAAACTTTCCACCTGTTAAACAACAGCATGTCTTTTGATACACTCCACTATCACTAATTAAAAGCTGCCAATCTAAGATTGGTGGTCTTTTTTAGTGTAGTACACAGGAAAGGCAGAGGTTACCTCACACATCCCTTTCCAAACTCAGCAAAAGGTTCTCAGGAACCTTTTTGAGCTTAACACCGTTGTTCCTACCCACTAGCTTGGACTTCTGTTTAAGAAGGGTCCTTGAAGTCTTAAAGCTTTTGACAGCAGTGGGCTGCTATGCTACACTACGCTACAGGGCCACTTAGCATTAGCTTAGCGGCGCTAAAATTAGCCCTTTTTTGTGTAGTATTAGGGCACCGCTATAATCACTATGCTACACCAATTTGTAGCTGCGCTAACAGTGTCATTTTATTTTTTTAGTGTTAGTTTGCCACTACCAGTGCTACGCTACAGCACTTTTAGCAGCGAAAAAGGCCAAAAATACGCTAAAACGTGCTGCAACACAGCTTAGCATGCACTTTTTGGTGCCCTGAGCGCGTAGTGTTAGCTCAATTCTAAATTTCTGCGCTAACACTACAATAATAGTTAACACACTCTTGTGCCCTTTGCGTGTAGCATTAACACAGAAATGTGGATTTGCGCTTATGCTACGCTAAAAATTAGCTTATTTTTGCTAAGGCTACAGTTAGCATAGCTGGCCCACCATTGCTTTTGATATGAATGATGACAATTCAGCAACCCCCAGGGCCAACATACACATGAATTTTCTTTCTGCCATTTACTGCTCTGTAATTACAGAAGATTTGATTGCTTTTATGCATAATTCATGTCATATCAAAAATTACAAAATGGGTGGGGGATGACTGAGGCCTGTGACATAAAAGGAGAGAATCTAACAGATTTTAAGCATTCAAGTTTGCTTTCCCAATCTAATCACATTGGATGTAATTAAGCATTGTGTTTTGATTATCAAAGCCATGATCTGTATTGAAAGATCGGAACAAAAGGATTTCCAATTCTGAAGCTTCACACCATGTAAACTGAATTTGATTTTTCCTCTTCTAGTTTGAGGTTATTCAGGTTTTCAATCAACATGTATTACTAAATTGGATGGGAATCTCCAAAAACTCAGAAATTATACAAGGGAGCTTCCTGCATGTTGACAGCACTTTCCACTGGATACAATCAAAAATAATTTGGTTATTGGGAAAGAAGATGTCACACTGGTTTCATTCAGATGCAAGTATCTCACTAAATTGAATACTCCAGACTTTTGCCATGTCTTTATCTAAAGAATCAAACCTTGCTTAAATCACTGAAAGTATTGTCAACAGATTTTTTTGCTGGAACTCTGTCAGTTTGAATGGAAACACGAGAAGATTATATTTGCATCGGGCTTTTATACATCAGATTTGTACAAGAAGAAAAACAAGCCAATAGTATACACATGCTTTATGAAACAAAAAAATAATAATCTGGATTGTTTTATAAATTGTGAAAAATAACAGAATATGTACAGCCCCTTGACAGAAAAAACTGAACCCATGCCTGCTGAAATTGGGTGGAGGGGTTCCATTATTTCTGTCAAGGGGCTGTACATAGCACTAGTAGGATGACAATGGGAAACTTGGATCTTGAGAGAAAGCCTCGTTATTGAATGATTCGGAGTTGTCAAGCGTATCAGCCGATGTGTCTTGAGATTTGGGCTGGGCAATTTGGACTGTGGGAGGAAGTGCGCGATCACCAAAAGAAGCGCCGCAGATGTCGCTGATCCGATGCACAGACTCGTTCGAGCCGTACTCGAATTTGATGCCGGCGGGGTCTTTGGCTATCGCATCAATCATAATAGCTGATTGACTCACGATCGCATGTGCGCAATCAGTGCAGTAGGTTTCCTGTAGACATAGAAAAGAAGCAGGTCGAAGCGAATTGAGAATCAGCTTTTGAAATTCATTTTGAATTCATCCAAGATCTCTCTACGGACCTTTGGGACGGCGACAAATGCCCGGTCGGCTCGAGTAAGTTTTCCGGAGATCAAGGAAACCACTTCAGCAACAGTAATTTTTTCGCCGCTTTGAGCCTCGACGTTGCCTAAAACTGATGGAAGACAGAAACTTCCATCTTGTTTGCTTTGCGTGCAAAACATGTCTCTGTAGATTCGCAGAAAAATATGATAGAGAACGTTAAAAGCTATAAAGATCCACAGGGTGCATGTAATGGGGAGGTTGACTATAGCGATTGGCACCTTACCTGGTTTCATTGTAATGTGTGATTATTGAATACATGGCCACGGCGGCAATCGACTGGTCCTCCAAGTCAGTCTTACAACCGTTCAGAATGACTTTACTTGCCGAAGCTAATCCTGCCGGATCGCAGGCTGCTGATGAGCACGCTTGGGAGACCCAGTTCTGAGGTTTCGCAAGAGAGAAATAATCAAAGGTTAATCAAGTGAAATTTTGCATGTCCTTCGGAGGTCCTCATGAAGGCTTACGTTGATTGGAGAGATGATAGAGTCTTTGCTTTCAAGGATTGAGACCAGTCCGATAAGGTTGGCACAAGTTCCGAATGGGCCTGCGAGTAAACTACTCGCAGAGATTTGACAGGAAGTAGAGAGTTTGGAGAAGCTTCTGACCGTAGCAGACTCTTCTAACTCTCCACTGGATTGACCTCGTTTGAAGAAACCGACAACGGGGTTGCTGGGGTAGGCAACAACGGCCTGGTAGCTAATGCAAACCAGCAAGACAGACAAAATGTCGCGTAGGAATGCCATTGCGGAATACGTCTTTTTGATAAGGTAGCGGTTATCGAGGGTGGGATTTCTTACTGATGTTGGGTTACTTGAACTTAAAACTAACTAAGGCTGCTTTACTGATTGAGATACTAACCTTACTAAACTGCGAATATAGGATACAAGGGGTAGAAGATGTTGAGTGGTCTTTGGACTCATGTTGCCAACCCTGTCCCTATTTATCCAAAAGTCGTCCTCAAGGAGTTATTGCAGCTGAAGCGCGGACTGATGGTACATAGGCTCAACTCAAACTCATGGCTTCGAATCACTTGGCATTGGTGAAATTGAGTACATACACACCATTTAGTGGCGACCTAGCATGCTCGGCGAATGTGACAGACAAGCCAGCACAAGAGAGGGACAAGCCTGACACGGGACACGCATTCAACTTTGCATTCAAGTACAGAACGGGGCCTCCCAGTGCCCACCTCGGTGGTTGCATTTTATCATTCGCCATGCTGAGGATCCAGCGCGAAGGCCCGACCACTGGCAACATGTGTTCGAATATGTAAATGATAATATCGTCGTCTGGGATCCTTGCTTGGTAAGCTGGTTTGAGTTTTTGGGGCCAAGCGTTCCGAAGACTCGAATTTGGGAAACTATTTACGTTGAATGGAAAACTTTCGACATGATTCTCATGTCCAACCTCAAAGCTAATAAAAGTTTTTACATCATGCATCGAGTGCGGCTGATTGAAAGAGTTTCAATGAAATAGGAAAACGAGAAAGAAGAATGGAACGGTGATTAAAAAGCATGATAAAGTAACGAGTGGTGAAAATTAGCCCAGAAAAGAAGACAGCAGTATAAGAAAACGACACAAAAAAATGAGAGGAAGTCAAGAGGAAAGGCAGAAACAAAAAAGAAAAAGAAAGAGAAAAAGAGAAAAGGAAAATAAGGAAAATAAAGAGAAAAAACTCAAAAAAAAAATCAAACCAAGGGTAACTGATGCTTTGAGAAAGAGGTATAAATCGAAAAAAAGTAGACTTCATGAAAATCTGTATGTCAAAGTACGGATACACGGATGGAAAATTTTGAGTCTGTCAAATGAGGAATCAAAAAAATTCGTAAGACACTAATAAGAAAAAAAGAACACATACATAAAATAACCAGTCAGATTTCATCAATCCGGTTGTTTTGAGTAATGTGTGATGATATCGAAACTTACAAAAATGTAAATTTTAAATACCCAGAAATCCTCTGCTAAACATTATTTACTTTCTCGAGAAACTGGCGAAGCGTTGAGCTTAGGACATTGGGAAGAGCCTCCACATCACGACTAAGTAGAAAAGAAGTATGCAAATGTTAGCTTCGAACTCAGCAATTCTAGACAGTTGGTTTAATCTTTTGAAGTAACACAAACTCACAGTATGATATAATAATCGAACGGAAAGGTATCTAGATATCTCTCCATCTTCAATTCCATTTGACCGTTTGCTCCATTGACGTAAGAAACGGAATTCATGGAGATGATGGAAGAATCGTTATGATGATCATCTTTGGCTTTGGTGCCATCTTCATTTGCTCCTGCGGTTCCGGTATGTTGATGTAGAGAATCAAGAATCAAGAATACAAACATGATCTTGTCTTGAACAGCTTTCCGCAGCAAGCTTTTAACTTCCTCGTGATCTTGACAAATTCCATCTGAGATGATGATACCTAATTTCCAGGTTTCATTGTCATTGTGGGAGTTGCCAGAGGATTGAGCCAAAGAGAACGCTTTGATTGCTTGAGCTACCGCAAGTCGAACGTTGGTCTGCTGCTGCGAGAAGGTGAAGCCTTCAATTGGACTCGCCGAGTTGTTTAGCTTTCCAGAACTTCCTTCAAAGGGTTGCAAGATGTCGAAGCTTCTGCCGAATTTTGCTATTGCAACTTGCCCAACTTCCAATTTAGCGAGCGCGCTCGTCACCAGGGCGAGAGTTTGAAAGGCTAGGTCTGCGCATCTTGAGTCGGCCATCGACTTTGAATCATCAACCGCCAGAAGAATTTTGTAATCTCGTTGTGCAGGTTTGGTTCGACGTAGCCAAATGCGATCTTTGGTATAGTCCGATGCAATGTAAGGAACCAGTTTACGCATATTCAATCGCTTGCCAGTACGATAGTCTCCTTGGAGGCATGTTGCGGTCGTCGGTTCTAAAATGAGACGCAGCTGTTCCGTCAAGTGTGAGGCAGAGCGTTGTGTGAGTTGCTGATATTCGCGCCAGAGCGCCGAGGATGTGGAGGGGTCGTGAAGAGGTCCGTTTTCCGAATTGAGGTTAGTTGATTGGACCGGGTCATCTTCTTCTTGGTCTTCAGGTGACCCGTTCTCGATTCTGGAATCGCGAATTTGACCATCTTCGGCAGCTTGTGACTCAGATTTCGATCCGAGAATAGCCGCCTCGGCAGGGTCAATCTGGTTCCCCGTTTCGGGCGCTTGGAGTGGCTCAACTGGGTAAGGCGTCGAGTCGGTTACCGGCGGCCGGAGGATATCGGCTTGAGGTTCGCAGTCATCGATTTGCATGTTGACAAGCCCTTGACAGGCTTGCTCCTCGGTCGCAGGCCCAGGAGCTTGCTGATGAGCAAGATCGTCGTCATCAGTCTGCAAATACTCAACTTCGGCGTCATCATCAAATCGTTCTTCACCACTATCCCTGCCTTCTTCAGGACTGGCATCAATGATTTGTTGAAGTCTATGCTTCCAATCCTCCATTGCATTGCCTAAGTCGCGCAATGGATTCGGCCTAGTTGGATTCTCCTTGTTGCTGTCGCGCTGTTCTGTAGGACCTTGCTGTTGGGATACAGCTTGACCGTCAGAACCGTCGCCAACTTGCTCGGTAGATTGTGGTTGAGTCACTTGCATTGGGATCTTCTCTTTTGTGGACTCATTTGGAGCACCCGCTGGCTTTTCTTCATCTAACTGAGGTTGCTGATTATCCGCATTCTCATCGACGTTTTGTGTTGTCTCCAATGCAGCCGGGGTAGAAAGTGCTCCACCGCCCTCGGTTCCAGCTCCAGCGCCACTCTGAGAATCTTTAGCCTGGCCTGAAGGGTCGTTCTGTGGCTGAGCTTCAGTTTCTCCCAAGGCTTCTTCAGGTTGCCAATCCTCTATGTCATGGTGGTCGGATGGGCTTTCTTCTTCTCCATCGCGGTCAAGTTCCGCATCAGTTCGCTCGGGAGGTTCGGGCACTGTCAAAACAATCATGCGACCCTATTAGTGGATTTGCCAAGTTGCATCAGAATCAAAGCAACTTACTAGAATCTTCAAGATCCATAATTGAGTCTTGTGAGGAATTCTCTCCTGCTTCGCTGCCGTGGTCCTCCAATTCGAGATTTTCCGGAAGATCCAAGACTTCAGAATTGTCGACATGATCCATCATGGGCACCGTGTTATCTTGCCCAGGTACTTCATTGTCGCTTTCCTCTTCTTGAGCATCAGCGGCTTCGTTCTCTTGATCCGGATCATCTTCTTCAGCTCCTTCATCCAACAAATTATCATCGACGTCGGAGCCTTCCTTCTCCTTGGGTGAGTTCATCTCTTGATCATCGGTTTGCTTAGCTTTGTTTTGCTCGCCGCCTACTTTATTGTCTTGTGCCGCCAAATCGGAATCCTGGGGCATAGGTTGATTTTCTTTGGCACTCAAGTCTGCGTCGTTGGTTTCGGGCTCATCCCCTGCTTCGTCTTCACCCTCCCAAAATTTTTCATCAACAGCCCCGGAGTCCAACGGGTCAACCTTGCCCAAGCCATCCTCGACCTCATCGTCTGCTTCATCATCTTCATTGGCATTGGATTCGCTGTCGTCTGCATCTTCAACATCTTCGAGTGAAGCATCAAAATCTTGCTGAGTCTCCACAGCCTTGTCTTCTTTGGAGGCATCTTGATCTGCCTCGGGTTTTTCCTCGTCAACTTCTCCTTGCAAGCCCTCCAATTGCTCATCATCCTCGATTTCATCACTAACGTCTTTCGCACCCTGCCCACCACCAAGCCCGGTTCCGTCTCTGGACGGCCCATCCTTGCCTGCGCTATCCTCCTCCTCCTCTCTGAAATCGGGCTTACAGAATCCCTGTTCCGCAATGTTTGCACCGATGGAGACGATCGTATGTAACAAGTGGAGGTTGCTCCTATGCCAACGCAAGTATTCGAGTAGATGGTTGGAAATCAGTTGTAAATACTGTCGCAGTAACGATGCGCCCATGTTGAGCAACAGAGAAATTTCTTCAGAGTTGGTAGTGAACGATACAGCCTGGTTGAAGTTGGATAAATTTTGCAAGATTTCTTCCAAGTGACATTGTCCAGTCAAGCTTGCGAATTCCGAATGAGCTTTTCTGAGGAGGCCGGGTGCTTTCTTGGATGTGATCAAGTCTGACTGGGGATCTTTGGGTCTCGCTAGATCTTGAATAACAACGAGAATTGAGTCTGTCAATTTCTTCATGGAACCCCAAGCCTTCTCTGAAGAGCAGCCATCAACATCATCGAAGTTTGGAATGGTGGTCTGATGATGGCGCAGCTGTTGGGCAAGAGGCGACAATATGAAGTTGAAATCGGGGAAGCTGAGAGCCAAAGACTCCAGACGATCAGTGGTCGCGTTAAAGTTGGCATTGATTTTTTGCAAAGCATCAGCCTCATTGGGTTTGAGTAGCGTGATAGAGGTGCCGGAGAACATGATAATGTCTTGAACAAGAGACGCATTTTCGACTACCGTCTGAATTATTTCCTGTAGCATATCATTAATTCCGGTAGGACCACGGCCTTGTTGATTAGTGAGCTGTGCAATGAACTCCGAAGCCTCTTCAATCGAATTCACACAAAGCTTCTGGTGTTGAATGATCTTTTTGCTGATATCACACAGCTGGTTACCGGTGGTCTTTGATGTACAAAACGATGTGGAAACTAGTAAGTTCGACATACGCAAAAGGGATTGCTCAATATGCTTGACTGTCTTGACGAGTGTCGATAGGCTCTGCCGTTCCGCCAAGATAAGTGCCAAACCGCTCTCAATAGAGCCAATCAGTCGCTCCATGTCGGCATTGGGAATGTCAGAGTGATGCTGACTACGATACTTGCGAAATTGCGGCATTTCATTGAGCAGCGCAAAAATTAATTCATCAGAATCCTGGCAGCACAGCTGGACTTCGGAGAAACCTTCTGGGCCAAGTAATGGCTGACTCATGACGACTGCAGGATCTGAGAGTTGTAGAAGAAGACGATCAGTGGGCGATGTTCCAATACCCAAGAGTCTCAACTTTTTCAGAAGTTCGGAGAAAGCCTTTCGTTTTCGTAGATCAAGGTTTCGAGCAAAGCGCTCTCGGCCGTCTCCTCGGGGAATCTTCACTTCACTCAGCTCTTTTGCCACTGAGAAAATGTGCGTAGACAATTCGGCAATTTCGGAGGCTGCGATTGCGACATCTTGAGATAGGAAACCGTTCGACTGGACCAATTTCTGCAGCCGTTTCAAGATGTTCTGCGGCTGTGAGAGATAGGATGGCATCGAAAGTGATTCTGTGTATTGGTTCCACAAAATTGGATTAATCTGACAGGATCGTGATAGTTCATTCTCCTGGAGTATCGTCGGAAGACGTGCCTCGATATCGCCGGACTTCTTGACTGGCCATCGCTGCAACATATCCTTCATTGGTCCCTGCAGTACGCTACGGAATTTACGGATTGTTTTGTAGAGCTGTCGATGGCTTTTCTGACTACTTTGCCGAAGTGCAATGATGTTGACATCCTTCCAACTGGCAAGCTGTATGTAGCTCTCTATCTCGCTACGGGCCAGACGTTTTGCTTGTTCAATCTTTTGGTCGACCAGAGGCTCGTAATGCGAGTAGAAGTAAATGATACCATCTAGAAGATTGTTGATGCGACTCCAACATCCAAAGTTTGAGATCCGGGAAACGGCTCGAAGGAGTGCGCTGAAAGAGTTGAGGAGTGTCAAGCGGTATCCGAATTGTCCTAAGTTACATTCGGTGAGGTATTGATTGAGAACAAGGGCACAATCCTTAAGATATGATTTTGCTTCTTGGTTGTCTGGGGTATGCGAATGCGTCGAATAACCGCGAACAAGCAATTCGTAGAGTCGGAACCACCAGACGTCGGTCGTGAGATGGAAGGAATCGAGTTCAGTTTGAATCAAGGCAGCCCACGAGGCTAATTCCAATCTTCTCCAGCTCACGACTAGAGCTGTAAGGTCAGACTGGAATGAAAGCAACGAGTTCTCGGCGCAACTGTACTTTTGCCATTCCTCAATTTGTCCGATTAAGGCTTCCAGTTGCGGGATGATCAAGGCCAGAGGACTGTCTGATGATAAAGCTGCAACTTTACGACATCGTTGAAGAATCTCGTCCAAAGTTGTCATCTCAGGCCATTGTCGAATCAGCGCCTCGATTTTAGAAGCCAAAGCTTTTACAAATGGGACCACCCGGGTGGTCTCAGCAGTATTGCTATCGGTGTAGAAGTTTGCCTTGGAATTTGATGGCGAGGTGGACGATTTGAGAAGTTGACAAAGAGAATGGAACTGAAACGCCAACGATGATTGATCGAGATTTGAGGGCAAGGCAAGCCCGTGCTTCTCTACCATTGCTACCACAATTTGCTGCCGAAGCGAATCAAAACAGGACCTAGAATGTTCTTCATCTACCTTTGCCGACATGATTGAGAGATGAATCTTGCAAAGGAGTGAAATTTGCAACGGAGTGACAAGGTTGGTAGAGGAGTTGGATGAGGCCCGTGGTAAGTTATCTTCGTAAGACGGGAACAAGTCTTGCAATTCTTCTTCTTCGATTTCCTCATCCGACTTGATGATGATATCTTGTCGGCGTGTTTTGAACTCCTGCGCCTTTTCCTCAGCCTCTTTCTGGAGTCGGATACAATCTCGAGTCCAAAGTTGCCATAATTTGTCGTAGAATGAGAGCAACTTGTGGGTTTGAGGGCTTTCGAATTCCGTGATCGGGAATTTGGTCATCGCACTGATGTAAAGTAGTGAGATGACCGATTGACCAGCTTCATCTGCAACGGTCATTTGAGCTGTTTCTATGAGCGGGTCGTCTCGGAGATTGGCTGCGGCGATAGTGGGAGTGCTTTTTGTTAAACAGCCGATGAAATCGGTAATAACCCGCGCAGATGGGTTGGAGCAATCTGACATTGCCCTTTGGAACGAGAGAGTAAGGTCAGCGATCATGACATGTAGAAATGCTTGGACCGGCCATAAAATGTCGACGGATGTGGGGAATCGTTTGCTGAGGCGATTGAGCAATCCAATGGCTGAGAAAGAGAAATTCTCGATTCGTGCATGTAGGGCTTGGAGACAGTCCTGATTTTCCGGTCTGGCAAGAGCTTGTACTAAATCTTCAAGGCGTCCATCAACAAGAAACTGTTTCTCGAACGCTTTCAACTCAGTAAAGATTGCATGCTGGACCAGCGTGTCAGTGGACCGTTGGATTGAGGGCTTTGGGATTTCCTTGCAGCGTGAGTGGATCACTTCGATTTCGTCATCCAATTGCTTGATTCGAGGATTCGATGAAACACGACCTTTTGCCTGCTGGTACGAAGCTAAAAATTCCCGCAGTTGGCCAAGACGGGACGCCCAAGCTTGGAGATAAGAATGGTGGGCAGTCTGGACAGATAGAGGGTCGATGGGTACGTCTGGAATGTAGAGATGCCATAGCTTCAGAGCCCGCGAGGTGAAGCTCAGTCCTGAATTAGGCAGATACGTTTGTTCAGGATGAGCTGGATTGCTTTTCTCGCATCAAGAGGCAGATGAGAAAATGCTTACCTGCAGGAATTGGGGTACCAGATTGGTCAAGATGATTCACCGGGGCTTCAATCTGCAACAAGAAAATCAAACGTCGTAAATTTATAAGGAGAAAAAAGAATTTCAATGAATTGATTTAACTTACGAGTTCTAAAAGGTTTGAAATCAGAGCAGAACACATGCGTTCGCGATCTTGAGTCAAGCAGTGAGTTGTGGTAGCAACAAGCGAGACCAATTGCTGGAGTGTATTGACTACCGTTCCGTGATCCTCAAGCGTTGTTGATTTTGTGACCAGTCTGAAGTCCAGATCAAGATGTTTGCTCAATTTTGGTGATCAGATAAGAAGAAAAACAAAGACGGACAAACCTAGCAATGCCCGACATCACGTGAAGGAAATTTGATCGAGTAAATTGGGACACTACGTTGAAAGGTCGAAGGCTCGAGTTGGTCTAGCAAAAATGAATGATCATTAGTAAGTGAAGGCCACATTTAAGTCAATTTTGACTCACAGCATCGCAGAAATTGATGGGGGCTGCTGTTAATAACATGGTGATTTGGAGGTTGAGGCATAGGTCGGTTTGATCTGTGATTGGGAAAATGTCAGCCAAATTCTCTATATCATTGAAGGGCGGAATACTTACGCGTTGATGCATTTTGATCTTGAAGGTAGGCCTTTGAACGGAATAGCACGCCTACTTCGCTTGGTAAAGTCCCCCACTGAGGTAGAAGGGTATCAAGTTTTACTTTGCTCTGATGGGTTACAAAGAAATCAGTACATGTGTCAACTGCGTCTGAGAAAAAAAAATACTCACTTGTGCTGGTTGGAGAAAGCTGGTCATTGTTGTTACAATTGCAATCATTCTTTCTCCGACCACCCCAAAATTGTCATCCAGTGTGCTCAAGCCGTCATTTTCTGCTTTAGCAGCTGATATTTGCTGATGATCAAAAGGAACAAAGAATAATCAGACTTTGTTGATGAAAATTGAGAGATCAGGTTAAGGAATCATACCACTTTGAGTTTTTCGGTCAGCCAATTGATGTCCGGACACTGAGTTGATATTTCTCGACTGATCTTGAGGGATGCCACGATTTCAAAATAGATGGCTCTTAAATCTGAGTCGCCAAGAATGGAACATATGCCAATGGTCAGTTGTTGAGCCCCAAATAATAAATAATAGTTGCAAAGCATCTCAATTACCAGAGATGTAGATGAGAAAAGATGTAACACAGTAGGGGTATAAAGAAGTGACAAAAAAAGAAGACTAACCAATATCTAATAAAGACCAATTGGCCTCGCAGAGCTGCCCTAATTGATTGACCAAGGTGACAAGATGTAAATCTTTATACCAGGGTGGACAGAATAAATTCCATAGAAGGACGAGACCTTCCCACCGAGAGATATCATGTGAGTCGCGGAGTGGTTGGAGGGAGAGCTTGATGGGATCAAAAGAAGATTTTGATTGGATGGGTGCTTGATTGACCGAATCGTCTATCATCTTCAAAGCAAACCCAATCGCCGCATGGTCCGGAGTTGATTCTAAGAGGTTGATCATCTGCAAAGTTGCTTCCTGGATATCACGTATGGATTCAAACGACCTCTGTAGAATAGTCAAAATGATCAGCTGAAAAATCTTTTCTGAGAAAAAGAGGGTGAATAGTTGAAGGCTGACCTGATATTCAGATATTTCAAAGTCAGATAAGCTGTGATTGTCTTGAGTTTTGCTCAGTATGAACAAAGATGTTCGCAGAATCACATCACTGGCAAGATGGACAAATCTTGAAAAGTGTACATGGTTAATCAGATGACTGTGTTTTATGGAAGGTTCGCTTGGGATCTTCTTTGGGCCATTTGATTCGAGACTTGCTTGATGAGTCAATAAGCGTATAGGTAGACAAGCCGCGATGATGAGTCGCAAGAAACACCGGTGGCCCAGTGCTTTACCTTGATCCAGTAAATGTTGGGTGGATTGGCTTCCAATAGCCAAATCAAATGCCTAGTAACAAACAAGCTTGATCAGGCATTACACTTCAGATGTGGGCAGAGAGCTCAAATGACCAACCTCTCCAATCAAAAAATGATTCACTCGGTTGAGCTGGGCCCAACCTACTACAACTTCCAGAACATCAGGTTGTAACAGTCTGTTCAACAGTAGTTTCAACGAATGGTCGGGACTTGGCGAGGATAAGAAATGGTCGATTATTCTCGAGAGCAGTGGGAATTCGGAGGGAGAGTGAACTAATGCGTGAGCGGTCCAGCGCATTACTGGGTCCTGGATAACATTGCTTGAACTGAGGAGAGTGGTTTCTAAACAAGTTTAGAAGAAATAAAATTAGTGTATGAATGAGTAGCTTGAAGTTATTGGATTACTTACTGAAAGGCAACGGGGAAGAAATGAGGTGCAGCTGAGGATCAGGTAAGAAAGCAATCTCTACACCACGGTTTCTCATCGCCCGAGAAAGCTCGCCATACCGGGGGTTGAACGCGAATATGATTCGGAAGTTCTCATGGGGAATGACCGTATCAATACCACCTTGACACATCCCTTTTTCTGCGAGCTGCAGTCTTCCGGTACCTTCGAATAAAGGATTCAGACGATCCAAGACAGATGCGCTACACAAGTTCGAGTTCTCAACCAAGAGCCATTGGCCCTTCTTCATTGAAGTGACGAGGGGACCGTCGATCCATTCAAATCGGCATCCGGGCTTTCCAGACTGAAGGTCCAGTAATGATCGTTCAAACCTTTCGTAATGAGGAGCGAGTGAAAGCTTTTCTGGCTGCTGCAAGATTTGAAGTGCGCAAGAAACTAATCTGTTGGTTTCGAATGAAAAGACCAAATCCTTGATGTGATTCAGATCTCTACGACACATTTCGAGATTGCTGGTTCTGGCGTCACGAGAGAGGTAAAAATTATTGAGATCTTGCTGGATGGTTTCAGAGATGTCCTCAAGTATCGCAATCAACTTGCGTTCAGTATTGCTTTGCTCAAATCCTCCAATCAGGTCGGAAGTATCGGTGCCGGAATGTAAGTTAATGACTCGTAACTGGACACCTTTTCGAGCGGCCAAAAACTTCACAAGGGACGATTTTCCCGATCTTTCCATGCCAGTCAGAATAGGAAGCCATTTCAGCTCTAGACATCGAATTAGGGCTTCAGCGCAGTTGTAGAGACATGGTGGAATTTCTAGAGGGGAAACTATTGGGGGAGTCCATGACAAGCCAGCTGGTTTCGCCAATCTGCTATGTCCGATAACCAGCTCTGAAGGGAGCTCGACCAGATCTTGATGATCACGCGACATACTTGACGCATGGAAGAATTCACGAGAGATCCTTGCAGAAATGGTTTGATCGTCTTGAGTTCGAAACCTACCGGTGTAGATCATATCGACGTATTCTACCGGAGACAGCGGTTGGAGGTCGTATTTCCCGCTCATCGAAGTGACCTGCATCCACCTGCCGAGGTCACGTAAGTTGAATTCCCAAGGAGAGCCAAGGGAAGCAAAGGAACTAGGATTATTGGTCTCTTCGGCGAGTCGGTAATTCAAATTGACCATTCCTGATATTACAGATTGATTGTACACAGGAGCCATTTCAGTACAAATTTGAAGTAAGTCTTCTTTTTCCATCTCTTTCATGAAGACAACCGTGAATCGATCCACTAGCGACTTGGGAAGGCCCTTTCGGGAACCGCCTTGGTGATGTGGGTTCTGAGCAGCAAAAACCCTGAAGTCGGGGTGTCGTTTGAAGGTCCGATCAATTTCCGGAACATAAACAGTTCCTCGATAATCCAAGCAGCCGTTCAACCCTTCGAGAACCGTTTGAGGAGCCAGGTTCATTTCATCAAGCAGAACCCAGTCTCCTTTCTGCAGCGCGTCGAGGAAGGAGGCGTCCTTCCATTCGAATTGTCCCGGGCTTCCGCCCTCGACAGGTGCATCAGCACCAAACAGATCCAGTAGATCAGTTTGGTCGGAAAGGTTGATGCGTTGCAGGCGTTTTCCTGAGAGTTTGGCTAAGGCTTCCACAATGCTGGTCTTACCTACTCCTGGGCTACCTTCTAACAAAACGGCCTTGGGAACTTGAAGAGCCCGAATGATTCGCATGGCATTGTGGGCCACAGTTTGTGCAGAAAAGGAGTAATTGGTGGAAGTTGGTTCTGCAATGGTCGGGGTAGATTTTTGTAATACAAAATCGCCTATTTGTAAGCCTTCCGCCGTGTATTTGACCTGGTGACCACCTTCACTGCTGTCTTGCAAAACATTGGCCAATTGATGCAGGTAATCCAGACAAGAGCCTCTGAGTTCGTGAGTGAGATTGACGGAAAGGTCTTGTCCAAAGCCAGCGGTGCCAATGCGATCGAGAACAGTCATTTGGGCACCGTGAATGAATGATAGAGGCGGTGCTAGAGATGAACAGGATCGGATAAAGTCGCACCAAGCAAGGCCGTCTCTTAGACTCAACTCGCAAGTTGAAAATTGCGCAGAGATCGGTGACTTCGAGTAAAACTCCGAGAACGAGATGATGTGAGCGGCCCATTCCGAGGGAACAAAGCTACTACAAGTTGGAGACTGGGCTTTGTGTGATAGCCGATCACAGTAAATCGCAAACCTGTCCTGTGGGTCCGAGACTAGAGGGACCCAGATCTCGGTGAATCGGTTTCGCAGCGCTGGTGAGAGTTCTCGTTTGCCGAAATCACCACCGGGATTCATGGTAGCAAAGATTTGGAAGGTTGAATGGGCCGTGATTTGCATTTCATCAAGAGTTTGACCCCCACGTTCAGCCAAGACAATCGAGCGCTCCGGCTCTAACAAACTGTTGAGCCGCTCAAGTACTGAGTCATCCGCAAGAGAAATCTCGTCCAGTAAAACGTGATCGCCTTCTTGCATTGCTTGTATCAAGGGGCCGTCGGACCAATCAAACAATGCAGTTGATTTCTTGAGCTGACTGAGTGCCATCTGAGCCTGATCAATGGCTTTTGAATCAGATAACAATCTCTTTTTCTGCGCCAAAGCCTTCTCGGTATTGCTGATCACATCGTCAGTGTCCGACCCGTCCGTAATTGAGATTTTAATTTCCAAACAGGCAAGAGAAGCTTGTAGTTGTTGTAACGCAGTCTGGATTTTTTCTGCTCGCTGCCGAATCGGGCGTTGACTTCCCAATAAATCTCCCACTTCTGAATTCCGATGAAGGTTGATGCTTCTCAGGCGGTGGTTGGTAAACAAGCTGAGTGCTTCACAAACCGATGTCTTCCCGGAACCCGCGTCTCCCACCAAGAGAACAGGCTCGTTGAACTGAAGGCAACGGGAAACTAGCTTGAATAAACGCTTGCATGCTTCTGTGGCGACTAGACTCTTTGGTAGTTGTACGTCTTGATACAGGCAGTCTGGATTGATGGTCACGTTCATGATTTCTTCCAAAACTTGCTTGACGGTTTCCTTTTCTTCTTTGCCCCGGGAGCGCTCGGCCAACAGCATGTAGCCATCTTCAGCTAGTTCTTGATAACCTACTGCACCTCGACCACCCCATCGAAACAAATCTCTCAAAGTGACAAAACTGTGCTTCTGCTCAAAGATCTTGTCACTTTGTCGTCTTCTTTGGAGTTCCGCAAACACTTGGACGATCTTGTTAGCGTGACTCGGGGCAATGGCACAACGTTGGCATAGAATAACTTCTAATTCGTCTTTAGGAACATCGTCGAAATGCAGCTCGATAAACCGATTCCGAAAAGCGCGAGAGAGAACCTTTCGACCACCATAGAGACCAGGTGGATTTTGAGTAGCAAAAAGCATGAAGTCTGGATGAGGCTTGACAATTTCTTGAGTCTCAGGAATTAATAGCTCTCGATTGTCGTCAAGTAATCGATTAAGAGCTTCGAGAACGTCGGATGGAGCCAAGTTTAATTCATCCAGGACAACCCATGCGCCCTGCCGTAGAGCCCGAACCAAAGCACCTTCTTTAAAACAGAGACGCCCTGTTTCTGGATCAGTGGCATAGCTACCAATGTACTCTTGAATATCCGTATGTTCATGATTGTTGATTCGCACAAACGGGTGGCCTGTGAGACGAGCAATGTAAGCAACAATACTAGTCTTTCCACTTGAGGTAGGTCCCTGAATTAGGACTGGCCATCGGCCGGTGGTCACAGCCCGAGCCAAGTCGATTATTTTTGATTTGACCGACCCAGTGAGGACATATTCTTGGGTGACAGTGGATTCGTCCAGTACCTGTGCTTTTTTCAACCAGAACGGACCAACTTGAATGTATGATTCGTGATCTTCGGGCTTCTTCGGCAGTTGAGAAAGTATCGCCTTTGGGTTCTTCCCGGTTTGAACAATGTGTCGATCAATGAGCTGGTAGACGACTTCAGTTGATTTGGTATCAAGAGTTGTTACAAATGCCATCAAGAATCCTTCGACTAAGGCCCTTCTCAAGCATAACGAACTAGAAATCTCGGTAGCAAATGTCAAGGCGCGAGAAAGGGTTCTCATAGAATAGTGCGGAGGGGCATTAGTACCGTCAGCCAAGCTACCATTTCGAGCTAGAGTTCGGATGGCCGAGTAGCAATCAGCAGTGTCGGGGATCGCTCTTTTATCGGAAGCGCAGAGTCCACCTAGATGTTGGGAGATAATGTTCAGGAGGGCTTCTCGATCGTTATCGGGAGGTTGAACGTAGAGCTCGGTGAACTTTGATCTCAAACTGGCTGGCAAGTCGCGCTTTCCAACATCGGTAGCAGGGTTCATACAACCGATCAACCGGAAATCTGGGTGTCTTGGGACGGGGACGAGATCGCCCCGCTCACTGAGAACGACGGACGCATTCGGATGCCGCAAGAGACCGCTTAACGCTTCGAGAGTCTCGGTAGTGCCCAAGTTGATTTCGTCTAACAAGACCCAATCGCCGTTTTGTAAGGCCTTCACCAGCGGACCTTCAACAAAACGGAATCGCATGTGATTTGAAGTGGATCTAACAAACTTATCTTCAAATTGGTTGACTTGAAAAAGATAATCTTGAAGAGACGACTTCATTTGGGCTTGCGTGGTTTCAAATGTTTTGCTGCGAGTGATGTTAGTCTTGCGGCGCTTGCTGGGTTCATGGCAATCATTCATCTCGGTATGGAGCCGCTCGTCGGCCGATTTGAGTTTAGTATTTAAACGTTCACTGAGTGCTCGAATGCCGTCTTTGAGTAGTGCGACCAGTCGAATGTACTTCTTTTTGGATGCAGCCTTGCGTATTGCATGAACAAATTCGTGGTTGCGAGAAGTATTAAAGGCATCCCCGAAGGTGTTGATGAAATCATCAACCAAGCAATTGCCATGCACTACAAAGTTGAGATAGACTTGTTAGCTTCAGCGCTCAAAGTGCTACTTAAGATTGTTCGGAGTACTTACATTTGCCATCCTCAGCAGAATCGAGCGGTTTGAAGCCACCCAGTAGATCACTGGCTTCACTCTGATTGCTCAGATTGAGCGAAATCAATCTCTTGCCAATCAAGCTAGCCATGTAACTGACGACAGTGGTTTTTCCAGTACCAGTTTCGCCGACCAGTAATGCTGGCTCGGAAGATCGCATACATACGGCCAATCGTTCCAACAAAACCAACGTGGATTTCGTTAAAGCAAAAGGGCGAGAGTTGGAGATCATGGACCCCACAAGGCTTTTGTCAATGGCTTGCTTGACTCGTCCGATTGTGGCATGAGTCTTCCCTTTCCCGCTTGATCCGCCCTTAGGTTTTTGTGCAGGAGGAATGTAATCGGGTATGCGACGACAGATGCAGTATGCGGACCTCTCGGGATTCAAATCTAGATGTGTGCCGAGTGCTTGAGCAACATTTAAGTCTAGGTTGCTCGCCAGATTATCGCCTTCGACCGGAAAGGTTTCGGAAGATGCTAAAAATAAATCGACCCCTTCGAGAAAGATCTGTTCTTGGAGGACCGGATTTTGAGACACGGAAGACAGTATTTGATTATTTGACAAGAGCCCTTTGATTCTTGTAACCCACCTGTAACAACCCACCATGTCATTTGATGTTAACTTTCTGAGTGGCTATTCAAAATCGCAAATTGGAACAAGAAAAACCTACTTCAAAAGGTCAATCAACTGGATTGGGCGCCTGCGAGAGGAGTCCATGTGGGAAGATGAAACTTCTTCCCATGCAGCCACAAGTCGATGGCGGACATCTTCTGAGAAGTTGGGTGTTTGGCGTGTAATGAGAATCAAAATATCTTCTTTCGTCATGGAGGATATCACTACTTCTTTCCAGTATTCTTCACCGACGAAAGATTTGCCCTTGTCGTGTTGACAAGTTCGGGTAGCCAGGAGTAAAAATCGTTCGTTGGCTGATACCCATCCGCACTGGGCACCCAAATCGATTCCGACACCATTTGGTCCACCATGTCCTCCATACCCTCCGCCAACTTGGTATTGTGCACGGTGACTGATTAGATCGGCTAGTTGATTGATCACAGACAAAACATCCTAAAGTTGAAAACAAAATCAGTTCTCAGTGACGGATGATTTTACTTGTACCAGAAGATTATAATTACATCTGATGCACGATCTATGTCTTGGCAAACAATCCATTTTCCCTCTTTCATTGCCTTGAGTAAGGGACCTTCCACGAATACGAACTTTCCGGGGTCTTCGGTCGAACTAACATAACTGCCAACTAAACTTTTTGCATCCAGTGTTCTAGAGGCTAAATTGAGGATAACAACATTTTGGTCGAACTCGGATTGGTCGATGATTGTATGGTCAAATGAGAGGTTTTTCGACCAAAGATGAGCGGCTAATTTCTGAATAATTGTATTTTTCCCAGAGGAGGGTGGTCCGGATAAGAGGACGGGGAAGCGCTGCGAGATATGCTGACTCAAGGACTTGAGTGCGAGAACCGAGGAAGATGTTGAAACGAATGGAGCCTGGTGTGGAACGATATCCGACCTGATCTGTCTTCCTTTCTCAGATATTGGGCTTTGCGCTGCGGTCAATAAATTGTTAATTCGAGTCGGTGGAGGCAGTGCATGGAATTTCAAAAGGAGGTTGCCTTCAATTGCTGCAATCAATTTGGTGAGGTGACAATCTTGAAGGAGAAGCAACGGCAAGTCGACATTCCTTTGAACGGAGGCGGACTTGGGACGGGATTTGAGCTGTGAAATTCGGTGGGTTTCGTCGACTTCCAAGACCCATGCATCGATTGCTCGGAAAACCACCTCATAGGAAAACACGGTTTCGGGAGAAGATCCAGACAGATGCGCGCTCCATTTGCAAGTGAGCTGTTCTTCGACTATGATAGTATCATCCGACGAGCCATCGATGGTTGTATTCATAGGCGTATCCTCTTGATCCTGATTTTGAGGGGACTTGTGCGACCATGGAGATGAGAAATGATCTTCAATCGGAGAAATTTCACTTGGATTGCGTTTCCAAACGTATTGATCCTTGACGTCTTTGATCAGTTGACTGGAGCACGCTGGGCCTTGCCAGAGCTTCCAGCAATACCAAGCGAGCTGACGAATACCTCGACGCGGATGGAACTTGAGGATGTTGAGCAGAACAGGGGGTAGAATCCAGCCCTGCAAAACAAGACCGGGATAAGGGAGATGAGGTGATACTAGCAATAATCGAGAAATCGCCAAGATGTATGGATCGACAGCCTTTGATTGGTAAAGCGGATGGTTGGCGGCAAGAGGATGATCGAGTCTAGATATCGAAGCGAGGGTTTCGACTGGTAAAGCTTGAAAAGGATCGGTCCGAAGGGCGGGATGGCGTACAAGAATCAGGAAAAGTCTAATGGGCAAAATGTTAGTAACGAGGCTTGGGTTTTCATAAAGGAAGAAAACTTGGGTCTTAATAAACACTTACGGAAATAACGAGGCGTGATGCGGTAATAATAAGCTGAATGCGCTAATGATCGAACGGAGGTTAGACTTGATGTTTTCCTTTGCAGGTGGATGGCTCTGCTCGGAATGAAGCGATTCATCCTGATCAGGTTGAGCTGGCCAGTACGAGCAAACTTGATCTGAATATCGACCGCCTTCTTGAAATTCCAGAGACAAAATCCACCTCGAGGCTAATTCTGGTAAGATGGGGGCAAAGTGAGCGGATACATGGCAGGTAAACGGTGGTAAAAGGGCTAATTGAGCGAGGATTTCGAGGAAACGAGGGACTGGGTCATGATCAGGTAGGTTAAAAGATTCCGTTGATGTTTGAGGTGGATTCGCCTTGACGAGATTCAGTAAAAAATGGATATCGTGGGCCGGAATGTCGGAGCAAAGATGATGATGGATGATTGTGCCAGCTGACAGTGAACTTGATAATTTCGTGGATGGAGCGCTTGAGAGTGGAAGAAGGCCGATCTGATGGAGAAAATCGTGGAGAGCGCCAAGCAAATCAAAATCGTCCATCACGTCCTGTATTTGAAATTGATCACAAGTTTTCCTCCTGGTGTCAGTATGGCAAGGCTTATGAAGTATGCAAGGATGAAGGAACTCGGTTACTGACCATTTTGCGATTCCACTTTCCTCGGCGTGAAAACCGTGATAACTCGTAACCCACGCCTGATTGATGCCGGTATATGCGCTCGTCGTTTCCTACTAAGCCTGTTTGGGTGCAGAGTGGTCTTGCGGGGGAGAGTTTATTTTTCCATATTGAATTTCGGAGGCCCCGCGGGGTGATGTGGGCTAGGTGCGTCTTGCATATCCAATATGCAATATTCACACACACCACTCAGCGATCGGCTGTGTTCGTCGGCTGGATCAGTTGCCATGTTCCGAGCGGCCCTCTCACAGCGAGATGGCGCAGCTGGTAGCGTGCTGGGCTCATACTGCATTGCATTGGAACCCAGAGGTCGTCGGATCGAAACTGACTCTCGCTATGCCCCTTGGGCCCCCCTCCGGCTGGGAACGGCTTGGAGATCGGACCGTGTCCGAATTAGTATATCGGCTAGTATGACCGCCTCTCATGTGGTGCGCGGTAGAGACGGGTTTGAATCCCGTATTCGGAATATTTTTAGATACATTCAGTGGCTTGGGTGAACTTCTGTTATGCCATTCGAGTGGTGTTGTTGGTTGGAGTCTCCAATACAGGGGCAAACAGGAAACCCCCTATAAAGGTGGGTAAACAAAAATCCTGGATTTGGGGAAACTGTTCATGCCAGGTGTGTTGCTCTTTTTTCTGGGGCTGGTTTCTCTCCTTCAAACCATCTAGTCACTGAATCCCCAAGAATGGGACTGATTGAGGTGGGAAAGCAAGTATCAACTGCCTGGAAAAAAATGATCATCTTCAAGAAGCTCTGGTGAGTCAGTTCAAAGTAGGTGACCTGGGTGTGAGTATCAAGGCTATCTGTGGACCTGGGCCCACCCATTTTTTGAGTTGCAATTCAGAATCAGGGGAGGGTCTGGAGGGCATAGCCTTATACAGCAGTTCCCAGAAAGCTTGCGCTCGCGAGCTCCTGGGGACCCGTTTTTTTATTTTTTTTACCCCTTACTTTTTTGTGCCTCGCAACCTGTACACATGACTGTACAGGTTGCAAATCTGTTACTGTGGTCTTGCTTGAGGCCCGGCGACCTAGCAGTTGCCCGGTGGGGGGCGGGCATGCACCACTGTGACGGAGGCTTCCTGGTCAAAAAAGTGAGAGGATTCCGATGGTCCAACTCCCGACTTCTCAACTCAAAAAATGTGGGAGTTGGGCCTCAATGCCTGGAAGACTGTCGCTGTACACGGCCAGATACAGGACAAAGAGGCACAAAAAAGTGAGGTGCAAAAAAAGAAAAAAATTGGGATCCCAGGAGCTCGCAACCGCAAGCTTTATGGGAGCTGCTGTACATACCTCATTCAACCCTTTGAGAGTCCAGCATCATGATGAGGAAGCAAAATCTACCTCAACCCACCCTGATTGCAACAACTCTGGCTCTCACTCGAGTGAAATTATTAGGCGACAATTATAAACAATGTTTTGCCAATTTTTTTGATACGTTTTTGAAACGTTTTTGCAGTGGGTTTTGCATTTTTGAAAGCGCGGATTTTTGCGCCAAAACAATACCAAAACGTTTTCAAAACGGGGTTGCAGTTATAAACTTTTGCACCCCGCACCCGTCAAAGTGACCAAACCAGCTTGGGCTCGACTTGATCAAACCTCACCCCACGCAGCCTGCCAATGATCCCCCCGCCAATCAATCCACTCCCAATTCAGCTCTTCGGCCTTTGGCAATGGACCCAGCTGCAGCAGCAAGACGTCCCCCTGGTTTACGTGCAAGCCCGCCGCTTGTGCTTCACAAGACCAACACAATGGGAGCTGTAGAACAACGGCCGCATAACTCCGGTCAGTTCACCATAGTGAAGACCACGCAAAAAGAACCGGGGGGGAGGGAGAGGGGATTTGGCTTAGCAGACAGCTAGACCCTGACCTGATGACAAAGCGATATTGTTGAGTTTTCCCTTGCTGTACTACCACTATATGTTACAGAGGTGCCACTCAATGGGAGTGTCAAATACACCTCCTGTTTACCTGTAGTTGTGACAAAAAAGTTTTTCGCAAGCTCAAAATGTGTCCAAAGGAGGTCCATGGGCTCCTTTGGACCCGTTTTGGTTTTGCTTTTTGCCAGATTCCTGACTATCCTTAAAATCACAATGATTGTAAAACGTTTTGGAAATATTTCCAAAACGGTGTTTATAATTGGTGCCTTAACATTGAAAGGGAGTTTTCAAAAGGTCAAAGGGTTTGTGCTCGGTTGGCCTTGTCACTCAACCCACAGAGCATTGAAGAGCTACTTATAAAGGCTTTTGAGTGACCTGTTAGTTCAAGAGCCTGCTTTGGTTCTCATGCTTGGCATATAGATAAGTATATGGAATCAAGTCTTGTTGAACTTATGACCATAAGGAACTGAGAATAGAGAAGTGGGAATTCTCACTGGAGTGTTTCACTTTTGCAGAAAAGGAAGGTAAGAACCAATGGGGCTTGATTTCTTGTAACTGGCTATGTTTAAATAAACTACGTACAAGATGATCAAGATGTGGTTTTAATAATGAATATGTATGAATGAATAATCAATAATGAATATGCCAAAAAAGAAGATAAGTTCCAAATATAAGTGTTGATAAAGGGCTACTCCCGGACCCTAGGGCTCAGTGACTACAAAGGGGTGCACGTGACATACAAATAAAATTAGAGAACAGACTATAATCTAGAGCATTTCAAGATCACCATAAAAATAATCAGGGAAAATAAAAGTTAAGCTTTTTGGGAAGAGTAATGTGAATGAATAGACTAAAAGCATTTGTATTTCATGAGTGCCAGCAAAGAAATACAAAGTAGAAAGAAGAAATGAAAGAAGAAATGAAATGAAAATAATCACCTAAAAGCAGTAAATGGCTAGGTGAATATGACAACAATATGATTTGTAAGGCAAATGAAAGAAGATAAAAAGCTAACAAAAGAAAGTGGGTTAATAATAAGACACTAGTGAGAGAGAGAGTTCGACGAATACCTACGATGATTGGGAACACCAGAAGAGAAGAGGTAGTTGGCGGAGTTGTTGAATGGAAGGGAAAGAGTTGATACGAGGATCAAAAAGAACGAGATGCGAGAGCGGAAGGAAGTCGGAGAGGGAAGATGTAATGTTTGTCTAACTGAAACGACGAGGATGAATAATGATTTAGAGAGTAAGATTTTATAACACGATCAAATAGGAATTTCGACAGTGGAGGAATGTGTGAGATGAAGTCCTAAGGAGGAAGAACAATAGTCGGCGAAAGAGAGGGAATGATAAAGGAAGCGAGAACAAGGGAGAAGGATCAAGCGCAATGATGTCATTGCAGGAGCTTTGACCTTATTCAGAGTTCAGGCCAGAATGATGTCATATGTGTTTTGATCTTGGGTGCCAGGTGGTCTAGAGCTATGAAGCTTAGACCTCAACAAGTAAGAGAAGAACAGCAGAATTTCAACAAGTCCCAGCCAAAAAAAAAACTTGTTCCTCCTCCCAAATGCATTCATTGATAGGTACAACATCAAGTCTGATCCACATAAAGATCATTGCTCCACTCAGGCAACGGTGGGCCAATGTGTCACAATACAATAATTCAGCCCCTTTGTGTAACACATTGGCCTGTCAGTTTTTCTCTTTTTTGTTATTTCTATTGAAAAAATATCAATTTTTTGATAGTTAATTACCTCAAGTTTCAACCCAATACAGGCTGTATTGACCCAAAAAGGACTGTATTTGCTGTTATTGAGGGCCTTTTTGGAGCCCTGGGTGTTATTGTTATAAAAAAATGAACAATTTCAATAACAATAACATTGTAGAGTAACAAACAATAGTTACTTTGCAATGCTTTACCAATTGTTGAATCAGGTACATGGACAATGGCTTTGTGGCATTGAGTCCAAGCCAACAGAAAGCTCATACCTCCCTTCAACCCATATTGCACTACCACCTGGGTTAGATATTGTTTGTTTGGACCTAGGTACCCCTAGGTAACTGTTCATTTTTTTCAAAAAAATAGATACCATTTCCCGCACCAGACACCCCCCATGGGGTACCCAAGGTACCTGTTGCAGGTACCTCAGCCACGGGAGGTGTCTGGTGTGGTACATGGTATCTATTTTCTTGAAAAAATGAACAGGTACCTACGGGCACCTAGGTATAAATAGGTACCTAGGTCCGAAGGAACAATCTCTAACCTGGGTGTTTGGGTGGTTCCAGAGACCCATCCCAAGGACCAACACCCGGGTGGCACCACCCGTGAAAACACCCAGGTGGTGCCATTTGGGTTACACCTTGATTCATCCTACCTTTCTTGTGCATAGGCTTGGTGTTGGGGCTAAAAGTTCATACAAATTTTGTGTTTCCCCTTTTGGGACTCAATACTGGCCTTTGACTGGCTACTGCACATTTTCACCTTTCTGCATGGGCTCTTGTCAAATGAGATGAGTTAGCAAACAGGAAATACTATCACTCTTATATAATTGCATGGGCACTAGAGAATAGAACTAGTCAATGTATTGATAACTATAAACAAATATTTGTTGCTTTTACATAGTCTAATCACTACAAGTATCAAACAAAAGTGTTCCTTTTTTATTTTTTTGATTTAATTGCTCTGAGCTGTGAAAATTCCTTCTCCCAATGTTTTAAGAAGTCATCTTGAGACACTGTAAGGGGGAGAGGCTGCAATAGTTGGGGGATAGAGACACACCCCCTGCAATAAGGTTTCCCAGAGGCAACCAATATAAGATCAGTCCACTTGACCAATTTCATATTAGCCATCCAATGGCCTCACTGCATACAATTGCCAATTTTTCATTTCGGAGGTTCTTCTTTGTTCTAATTGAGTACCTGCTAAATTCTTTTTTTTTCTTTTTGATCAACCAAATTGACAAGCACATAAGTGTTTTGCCTTCAAAAGGTCAACATTCTACCAAGAATTCTTCAAATTTTCGTAGTAAGGATCCAGGATGAATCTTCCAACTACTTCAGCTGTGATTTGCAGCCTCTGAGTGTTAAAAAGTTGCACAAAGTCCACCTCCCTCTCTATGTGTAATACCTTTGAAAAAAAAAAACATCAAAGTGAGCTCATCTTGCCTTCACTCCACCCAACCTTCCTTTGATTTTGGTCCGTATAACATACACAAAAGACCACATCAATTTCCTGAGCAAGGAACTTTGTAAAATACCCCGCTGGAAGGATTCTGTCTGTGATCGCATGTGGCATTACAGACATAGTAGCTTAAACTGAAGATATGAAATAAGTGGAGATGCATCCTAACAGATAACATTCAAGAAGATTTGTTTACTTCAGTTAGAAAGGAAACATGCAATAAGAACAATCCTACACATCAATCATGGCCAATATAGTGCCTTGCATTTAACAGAACAGTACAAAATTGAGTGAAGTGAACTAAGAAAGAAAAGAACAGAAACTATGGCATTACTGCAAGTCAGAACACTAGACATTGCAATATAGATTAGCCAAGCCTCATGATTGATCATTGTACAGGCGAAGTGTTAGCTGCCAAAGCTGTACACATAAACAAACAAAGAGCAAGAGGGCCAAGACAACACTTTCTTGTCATATGTCAGAATTTCACCAGTACCTGATGATGTGCGAAATCAGGGGCACTTGGATCAAGAATCCAGCCAACACCCATGCCACCAATGAATCCCTTAGCCAAACCTTGTTGAGTGAGTTGTTTGAAGACTTTGAACTTGGTTTCGAAGTCCATCACGCTCGGTCGAGGCTGCAGATTCAGCCAGAAATGGTGGAATAGGAGCGTTAGTTTCAGTTGAAGGACCAAGAATCCATGCAGCTCTTGTGGGATATCTTCCATCAGAGTCTCTTCTTCTTTCCTCTTATCTGGATTTGAAGATGTCGTCCCAGATGGAGAAAGTAGGAAACAATTGAGTTGGTTGGTCTTGATGAGTGATATGCACCACCATGTTATGTTGATTGATGCAAGTGCCCATGGGTACCTAAAACATGGCCAGATGAAGTCCACAATTAGTTTTTTTTTGCATTTGTTTGTATAGATCACAGATTTTGGATGTACCATGAAGACCCGCCCTCGATCGCCTCGGTCACGATGTCCTGGCCGGCAGATCCGTAGTACCTTCCAAATGCTATCAAAGCATCCAGCCTGCCAGTTAAAACGTATGCGGGACCCAATTCAGAGTAAGTCATAAACAGATCTCAGGGACGCATTTTTGAATATCCATTTGCCAGTAGATCGATAATTACCCAAGGATTCCAGCACCTCGAAGATCGGTTGACGGATCAGTCCCTTGAAACCCTATCTTTTTTTTGGTTTTGAAAAAAAAAGTAAGATATGGTGGGCAGTTCAGTTTGAGCAGTAGATTTCTCAAAGTAATCTCTTTGCCTAGATGAAACAAACTCCAAACTGGACATACTTCTTGCCAGCCCTTTGGGGGTATTGTATCGTAGTCTTGACTAGGTTTTAGTAGCTTGAGTAACTAAGAAAGATGATGTTGGTGCAGATGATTTTCAAATTTTTAGTATGGTTTGTTTGAAGAGTACACTAGCAGGTCAATAGATTTCACTAACTTCCTTGAATTTGTGCTTATGCAACTCGGGCTGATAAGTGATTTTGGATCGTTCCTCAATCACATTTCGAGTTCTCGATGCGCTTTGGATTATTTTGAGACATTCAACTAAAGTCGGTGAAAACTGAAAGGATAGGCAATTATCAGAGAGATGTGATATCCGATTTGAAAGATGACGATGTTAATATACTCAACTGACGATTGGATTGATGCTTTTGATGGCTACAATAGCCTCAGAGAGTTCTTTGGGATCTGAACCTTCGCTGCATATGGCCAATTTAGTTGTCTGTCTCGAGAAACCTGATCAATCAACTCGGTTACATCTTGCTGGTTGAGCAGAGAATCTGAGTACCTGAAGTTGCTTCGAATGGTTGATGATCCAAGAAACCCTCCAAACGACTAAGTTACTCAGCGCGCTTTTACTTTTGTCCTGAGCTTGGTGCTCATTCTGAGCCGAACTTGATGCTAATAGGGCTGTTGTCTCTTCGCTTGAATCTTCATCATCCCGATACATCTTGCGCACCCGAGCATTCCTGATTTCATTTTTCAAGCCAGCCTCCAAAGCCCGACTGAGTTCGGATGAGCTTTGAGAATGACGAGTAGAGGATCGGAAACGAGTGAGCAAAGTGACTAGGCTGCATATCGCCTTGATCGAACGATGGATTGTCAGCAGAACCGCGTAGATTGTCGGACTTGAGTATTCCTGGGAGCTGATCAAATTCCGCCATGCGTCTGGGATCGATGGTATCGTGAGGTGGAAGAGGACCAGCGTCCAGTAGGAAGGGGTTGCTGAGGGTCTGAATGTTGTGGTAGTTGGTTGGGGGGCTGCCATGTTCAGATGCTCGTTGGCAGGCAAATCGCCAGTGGTTGTATGTATGTAGAAGACTGGTCATTGGGGGCACCACTCCTTGCCCGAAATAAACTGTAGGCCGGTTTCAGCATGTCGTAGGTCGGGTCGGTGCGGATACAACATGCTTCGGATTGGACCAGTCGGACTCTCAGTCCGGACATTGCACTTTGGCTCCCCAAGCAGTACATACATATGTATTCTACCAAACCTAACTCAAAGCTATGCTCCATACATTACAGACCTATACAGACCCCCTGAGTCAGACCAAACTCAGCTGGTAAAACTTGAGAGCCCCCAAAATAATAATCCTACCAAAAGATATTCCCACTTGTCTCAAAATTTCACACTTGATCATTGAGGTCTTATTGAACAATAATGGATTTGTCTTTGTTGAGCTTTCAGCTTCTCTTACAAGTGGCATACTACTGCTACAATATCATCAAAGTATCAGCTCTACCAGCCCCCAGACTTGATGATCAGAACCTGTTTTTGCCTTGGGACTACAATGGCTTACTTGCATCACCCTCTGAAAGTGGAAGACTGGATGCTGACATTGCTGTAGTGGATAGAGAAAATCAGAAGCGTCCATTGGAATTAGAAGACTCGTTTCACTCAGAAAATGAAGCAAATACTTTTCCAACCACTCTTGAAACCAGACTTAGTGCAAGTTCATCAAAGAGACCAAGGCCGACTCTGGATGTTTTATCTGATGGCTGGACAGAAGCATCTTCAACCAATTCACCTCACTCTAATCACTTGAGCACATACCACCAACCTGACTTACAAGGTGTGCAACACAACTTTTCCCATGTATTGAGATTTTGAAAGGAACCCTTTTAAGACTTCAAGGTACTGATAGATGGTTTCAATTTTCAAATTCTCTGTTTCACAAAACTTAAAATGGATTAGGATTCTGTGGGCTGGATCCTCAACCAAGTTATTTCCAGCATGAGAACACTAATGGTTTGGCAGGATCACAAGTTCCATACTATCCAATTGAATCATATTTTGAAACTCTCTTGGCCCAACATGGAAGTTTTGCTGATGGATGGACAGTTTCCCCACCATCAACATCAAACAATGGAGGCTCAAGTGGTTCTCATAACAATGCACAACTAGATTCTATCCTTACAACAAATTTTGATGATCCAATTTGGTCTGAATTGCTCAACTATCAGTCATTAGAACCCAGTGGAAGGTCAGAAGGAAGGGAAAATGGGGCCCCACAGGTTTTATCTGATGGTTGGAAAACATATTCTTCAGGAATCTCAGGGTTATCAAACCACATGAGTAATGAATTGAATCAAATCTTTAATGGAGGTGAGACTTCTCTAAAAGACTTGTGATTCATGGAATTTTCTTGAAGGATGACTTATCGACTATCTGGATCTGAAAAATCAGGTGATAATTTATGCTTTGCACAGAATGGTGAGACCTCAGGAGTTTTAGCCGGGCCAACAACAGAATTTTCCCCTGCAAATTCCCTCCCCTCCAATTACTTGGGTATGGAATCAATTCCCTTCTCATATGGTGAGGAATGCAACTCTTCATATGATGAAAATTTTTGTTTGCTTGATGTTTGCTGACCTAAACTTTAGCTAACTCAGGTTTTAAATTTAGCACACCAGATAACCAAGAAATTTCTGATATCCCTCCATTTTCTCAATCTTTGAACTATGGGCACAATCACATGAAAGATAATCTGTACCCCTTTCAAATGCAGTTCAAGAGTGAGTGATTATAATAAAAACTATTAAAAATTTCAGAGCTGTTTCCCATGCTTAAAAATGAATGTTCACAAAATAGATTATCATGAAAACCATAAATTTGATGCAAACTTACCTCACAATCAAAACAGTCAAATTGGATCTCATGATGATACTGATAGGGATTTTATTCCAAATCACACCTTACCTTCAAATTTGGCTGGAAAAGATTCCAAGAGTTCTGATTCAACCAAATTGAAAATACACAGTAAATCAGCATTACAAAGATTTTTTAAGCATCAGGTTGATAGAATAGGAGAATGGGAAATCCCAAATTTAGATGATTTTCCAGATACAATGAAGCCCAGGAAGTTTGGTCCAAGTTGTATAGAAGTTGAAGAAGAAATTCTCACAAAGGAAATTCTGAATTATTTGAACAGAAATGAACAAGATAGTTGGACTACAGCAGCAAAGGAAATTAAGAGTCTTGAAGTGAAACTTCTCACAAACATAAATCCAATGACTGTTTCCTCATATGTTAAGGAAAATGTTGAATTAATCAGTAATACTTCCAAGATTAGATACCAAATCTGTGTTAACTATAATCCAAGAACACATTCCAACAGAGGAAATTCAGACACAATGGTATTAAGAAAATTTAAATTCCTTGCTGCAAATCTCAAGGTATGTCACCAGACTATCATTGATTTTCAACATTTTACAGGAGTCAGACAGATTCAAAATTCCAAGAAACACTTTAATGACTGGCTATTAAAAGTCATATTCAACCCAGAAGATGGAAATTTCCCTCTATTTGGAGAGGTGGTAACATCAAGCAATTTTCATTTTTCAGAATCAAACTTTGGTCCAGTACAAATTTTCTTGATAAAGTCATATTTCATGGGAAATCAGGGATTCTTGAATGCTGTTCAGGTATCCCTTGCTTTAATTGGATATTGGTATATGAACTTCCATCCAGATTATTTCTTCAAAAATTTGATTGATTATTGGAATCTTATGATTAAAGTTTTGGGGAGATTGATGTTTTCAGAAAGGAGGTTTTCTTTGGTGAACTTCTCCCCTGCTAGAAGGTCATATTGGTATATGAAAAAATTGACAGAGATTTTAGAGTGTATGGAATTTTCAAAAGAACATTACAATGGAAACAAAGCATATAAATGGTAGCAAATTTTGTGATTAGATAAAGTTTTTTTTCTGTTAGAATATGTTCTTCAAATCAGGAGGGAATTATTAACGTAACTCACTACTCTATGAATGTATCATCCTCTGGGGTTAAATGAAAAATGGTTGTGTAGCCAAATCAATGATGGGAGATTACAATATGCTACAACATCTGCCCTCAAATATGCCATGTATCAATGATCAGCTTTAGTTTTTTTAGTTACTTTCATCAGGGAAAGTATTAAGAAATTAATACTTTACAATTCTTCATAATTTTTTTTTGTCTTGAAAAGCAAAAAATCCTGTATTGGATGTGTTGAGTGAGACACAGGGATGAAGACTAAAGTTCACAGACTGAAAAGTCTTGTTACTGATAAAATTTTTTGCCGGAGAGGCGGAGGATTTTCTTTGAAGAGAAAAATTTTTGGGCAACAAAAAGTGACTTTTTTTTTGGAAAGACTCAAGGGTCGGAAAAGGAGGGTAAGAGCCAATGGTGTTTTACTTAGAGGAGACTAAGCGTTAAGTAGTCTACATACAAGAGGTTAAACATGTGGGTGAGAAGAAAAATGAATATTTGAAATGAATAACAATTTGACACATGCATGAAAAGATGACAGGAGCAAATAATCATTGATAAAGACTAGACCCGGGTTCAAAGACTACAGGGATTGCAGCACTAGACAATGAAAAAGGTGCCACTCAGACACTTACAAGACACAGTAGAATTAATAATTTTTCATCTAAATATCATTAAGACAGAAGGGTGTAATAGAAGGATTTTTTAGGGATGAGAAGAAAGAGAAAAATTCCAACAGTTACACTTGAGAATGAGAAGATATAATGTTCTGATTCACTGAGGAAAGGAAAACTCCTGGAGAAACTTATATATGGACTATGTACAAGTTGTTAGTGTTATGGATTGAAGCATACTACATATTGAATATAAGATTAAGCATATTCCAACAAGATGTTACTGAGGGCTCATTCCAAGCCCTCAGTGTTGTTTTCATTGGCTCTCTGTGAGATTGATATGCCAAACAAGCTGTAGATTGAGATTCTTTTTTTTACTTTACAATAAATTATAGTTTCATGTAACTTTAAAAGCCAACTTTTGGCTAAACACACCAACTTGTGTGTCCACCTGCCATTTTCTTCTTATGATGCACCTCCTTTGGGTTTGGATGCCATTTCACAATACATTTTAAAATTTGTCCCTGTCACACAACAGCCTAAAACTGGTGTGTGGTTAGACATGCCAGCCTCAAATTTCTGATGTTTGGTCAAACACACCTGTTATTTTTGGTGTGCCTGGCTGCACACCAGATTATCTGGGGCTTATGTGGCATTTTGGCCTGTGCACCACCAACACTGGGCTGCTACCCTTTTTGTCCAAAAAGAATTAGTATGGCAGTTTTTTTTTACACCAAAATTGTGAAGTGTTAGCCAAAAGTTAGTGGTTTTTTGCTACACTACGCTGCGCTATGGGCGGCTAACGGCTGCTACAGGTCCAAAATGCCGCTAAACAGCCCCTTAGCGCAGCATGTGTAGTGTTAGTGTGGACACGGCACAATTCTGCTACGCTATGCTAAAGTTGAGCAGAATTCCGTTACATTATGCTGCGCTAAGCACTGCGGTTAGCATAGCTGGCCCAGCATTGGCACCACTGAAGATTTCAAGCTGGTGTCCTGCACATATCAGATATACTAGCTTCTTTACATGGCATGAGCATCCACCCCTGTTCCACTTAATCTCTAACTGATCAAAAATTCCTGTGATGCTCTGTAACTAAACAACAGAGTTAAATGGTACTCCTAGTGTGCCTCTGTAACCAGAGATGGTTGCGGGGTATCCGTTGCGGTCCGCAGATACCCACTATCTGCTGGCGGATACAACCCAGCGCCAATATATACCGGTCAGGGGGTACGGATTTGGCTGCGGATGACCGCTTTTCTCCCCAAACCTGGCAGATATCCAGGTATCCCCAGGTATACCTGAGGCCAATAGTATGAGAGTGGCCAGCTGGAAGGGTGTCAGCTCCAGTCTCTAAAGTGAACTGGTGTTGATGAGGTGGAAGGGTCTTACTATAGCTATAACAGCCATTAGAATGTGTGCCTCACCGCGACACTAGAAAGCGGAGGGGTTAGCTCCCTGTAATTGAGGGGACGTGTGGTAGGAACTTCACAGCGCCGAGCTTAAAGTAGTAGGCTACAGTAGTCAATTAACTGTAGTCTACAGTTGCGGATGTCAAAAACCAACCCTGTATTTTGAGGGTGTCCGAAATCTTGAGCAAAGAAAATAGATTTTTTTTGTATTTACAGGGTTTTTTTAGCCCTTTTGAGCCTACACAACTTTGAAATATTACCTCAGAGTATTGCATAACCACTCAAAATAGGTGCTACAGGTGCTTTAGGGGCTTCTTCCTTTCTATTCTATGTCACCACCTTTTTTCAATTCATCCAAAATTGTCATCCTAAAATCTACCTCGCATCACTCAGCACACCCACCACTTTCCCACCTTCTCCCCTATCCCCCTTTGCAATACAACGAGCACTAGCCCCGCTCTCCCCCTCCCCTACCTCCTTTCCACCTCACAATCACACACTCGTCTCATAAACCCATGCCACCCTCCCTGCTCCCGCAGGGCGGAGACTCAGCGACCAGTAACGACATGTCCGGTATGGACATGTATGTTACTGAAGGCTCCTTGCCTACAGTCGAAAACACCCTAGCGGAAAGGTTAACCAAGCTGCTTGATACCTTAATCCCTAGGATGGAAAGTCTTGAGAGGGTCGTCTCCGGCCAAGCTTCCAAGCCAACCGGAGCAACTCGCGCAGACTCCTTTAACACCCTCCTAGTGAGGATTGAAGAGATAGCGGCCAAAATGACCAGACTGGAAAAGAAGGTTGAGGCTTTGTCCTCACCTCTCTCCTCCAACATGATGGCTCAGACGACCGCTAAACCAAGCATCTTGCCTCCTAGACCAGCCCCCCTCTATTCAGAGAAGGCGGCCGGGATCTCCAAGCCCGGGGCGGCCAAGTCTCTGCCACTGGTTCCCCCCTCTTTGTATATCAACAGGTTTAAGCTTGGGCAGGTAGTGATCAGGAAGAAATTCGATCAGCCCAAACCCTTTGAAGGCCTAACAGCGGCAGCCATTTGCCAGAAAATCAATGACGCACTCGATTTTGCTAAAGCGACGATTGACAATGAAGTTATCAAGGTAAAAGCGGTTGCACAATTTCCAAATGGAGATGTCAAAATTTTCACTAAAGATCGACGAGCGGCCAAATGGTTGTTAGACAATAAACACCTTTGGACCGAAAAAGCTGACCCGGTTTTTGTCACATCCCAAGTGGCTCACCCTGTCCTCCTCCACTCCTGCCCCACCAGCTTCGAAGTCGACAACAAAGAGCATGTTGAGCTCCTTTGTAAACAAAACAATATCGAGCCAAAGGAAATCCAAAAGATTCGTTGGCTCCTCAATCCCAAAGGGACGGGTAAGGCTTCCAGCACCCTTTTGATTTTCTTCTTCAATAGACGTCTGGCCCTTGACATCGAAAGGGCCGGACTATGCTACAACAGCTTACACCTTAAAGGGCAACACTACCTTCAAGGCCCAAAGCAATGCTATAATTGCCTGGCTGTCGGTCACTTAGCTCATTCCTGCAAAGAGAAACCACTCTGCTCGCGTTGCGGAGCAGGACACAACTCAGCCTCCTGTGACGAAATGGAGGACTCTAGCAGAAACTGCCAGCGATGCCTGCAAGTTGACCGCAAATCCTCCACCACCGTTGACCTATCTGATCCGAAATATGATCATTCCCCCTTCAGTAGTGCTTGCCCTATCCGGGCTAAAGAAATAGAAAAACTATCCAAGGATAAGACCCCCAACCCCCGACAATGATAGACACAACTTCCATAAGGCCCCACCCTTGATTCCACATCTGACAACCCCACTACCACACTCCCCTTACCTCCCAACTTCACCAGATCCTTTTCTTCACACCACACCGAGCAACCCCCCCATTCTTTCTCCCTCCTCCAACTTAATTGCCACAACAGAAAAGATTCCACCCTTAGTGTCCTCCACTGCGAAACCTCAGCACTTGCTCTACTACTCCAAGAACCCTGGACTAACCCTTTTGATCAACTCCCGTCTAGTCACCCCAGCTGGTATCGCATCTCTCCCATAGACCAACCGGGCTCCAGTGAAAACAGGCCCAGATGTTGCATCTACATCAACAAATGTCTACCCAGTCATCAATTCCACCGCCTACCTGATAACTCCAAACTTCTCACAGCAGTTTCCATCACCATTCACACAGACATCCACCTCAAATTTCACCTCCTCTCACTATATAATCCTCCATCAACCTTTCCTGCAATTCCCATGCTAAGCAATTGGCTAAATAAACACAACTGTCGTCACACCCCCTCCATCCTGATGATGGACTCGAATCTCCATAACCCCCGCTGGAACCCCCCCAACTACCACCATACCCATTCATCTTCCAAAGACCTAATAAAGATCTGTGGAAAAAAAAGGTTTCTTCCTGGCATCACCGGCAGGCATCCCTACTTTCCTTAGCCCAAGAGGCGCCCAAACTACTATTGATCTCTGTTGGATCAATGCCCAATGTAGAAAATGAGTGAGACACTGCAGTGTTGCTCTAAACAACCATGCTTCTGATCATCAACCGGTCTCTCTATCTATCTCGCTTGAGGGTAGAATCCTACAACCCCTGGCAACAAGAGGAATCACGCCAGAAAAGCTTGATAGAGATCGCTTCCAAACGGATTTGGAACAGACTCTCAAGTCCATCCCCCCTCCCCATTCTTCAGACCCCGTCCCCTCCATCAAAGAAGCTGTGTCTAGACTGACAACAAGCATTCAAACCTGCCACCTGAAACAAGGCACGACCCCTTGGAGAGGCCAAGCCAGGGCTAACTCGTGGTGGGTACCCCATATACTAGGGCCCCTGGTAGCAAATCGAAACAAGGCTAGGAGATGGATGATTTTGTCCAACTCAGCCGAAGCACGGCACTGCTATTATGCCTGGCAACACGCCTTCAAACAGAAGGTTGAAGAGTTGAAATTACTCCACTGGAGGCGATTTTTAGCCAGAACAGGAGACGCCTCAGCATTCCAGGCGTATAAGTTCACTAAAGCAAAACAATCCGCCACGGTTGAACCACTTTATAGACCCGATAAAACCCTCAGCACCGATGTAGCTGAACAAGCAGAATTATTGTTCCGGGGCACATCAGTTATAAACTTGGTCTGCGACCTCACAGACATCTCCCCCAGAGAACCGAAAACCCCTCCCAGAACCTTTCCTCCCATCACGATTGCAGAAGTCAACCGCTCCATTGACTCCCTTCCCGCAAAAAAAGCGGTGGGACCCGACACCATCCCCAACGAGCTTCTCAAAATGGGCAAGACCCACCTTTCTCCCTTTCTTACACCTCTGTTTAATGCTTGCCTACGACAAGGACATTTCCCTAGAAAATGGCGATCCGCTACAACAGCTATCATCAGGAAAGCAGGGAAGTCAGATTATAGTGACCCCAATGCGTACCGGCCCATTGCACTCTTGTGCACCCTGGGAAAGCTGTTCGAGAAAATCCTCAATGAGCGTCTGATCCACTGGATCGAGACCAAAGAAATCCTTCCCCAAGGCCACATGGGTGGAAGAAGAGGCAGAAACCTCATAGATGCTCTGGTAGTCTTCACCTCTTGGGTGAAGCACCAATGGAGAAGAGGCAAGATAGTTGTGGGCTTGTTCCTGGATGTAAAATCCGCCTACCCTTCCGTCTATGCAACCCGTCTTGTAGATCGACTTCATCAACTTTCCTGCCCAGATTATCTGATACATATAATTTCCTCCTTCCTAACCGCAAGATCCACATCCATCCGAATGGGTGATTACCAGTCATCTCCCTTCCCAGTGAAGGAGGGCCTTCCACAAGGCTCCCCTCTATCCGTCACACTGTACATCCTGTACAATAGTGGGTTACTCTTACACAACAAGTGCTCCTTAGAGGAACCAAGGCTCTCCATAGGATATGTCGATGACATTGTTCACCTAGCGGCAGCCGACACAATGGAACAGGCAGTGAGAATGATACAGGATGACGCCACCTGCTCCCTGGAATGGGGCCGGAAGTTCGGAGCCATCTTCGATCCCAAAAAGGCTGTACTAATGCTTTTCTCTTGTAAAACCCTGTCACCCCCCACCTTCGACTTTGACGGGCATACTCATACGTTCCAAAAAACAACTAAATGGCTAGGCATCATACTCGACCAGCGCCTCACCTTCTCGGAACATTTGAAGAAAGTCAAAGCAACAGGCGATCTAACCATCATTCAACTTGACAGAATCGTCAAATCCACATACGGTCTGAGCACGGGACTGGCAAGGAGATTGGTAGTGTCAGTCTTTTACTCAAGGATCCTATTTGGCAGCATTGTCTGGTACAACAGGAAAAACGCAAAGTCGGTGGCACAGATCCTTGAAGGTCTATACCACCGAGCTTGCTGGTTGATAACAGGCCTATTCAAGAAAACACCCCTGGTCTTTGTCAGAAAGAGCAGCGGACTGACAAACCCCCTAGAAATACATCTCAGGAATTCTCACTCGTATATCCTCCGAGCATTGACATACCCTTCCTCACACCCCATAACCCACATCTTAAGAAAAGAACTGACAGAAAAACAGCCTCCCTTCCCAAGTCCAATTCACCTGATCTTGACACCCTCCAATCAATACAGCTTCCCAGTAAACCAGACCGAGACCATCTTTCCGGTACCGGCTCCACCTTGGATCGAACCGGTTGCAGAAATCCGAAACCTGATGGAGAAAAGAGCGGAGGTGCTCAAACAAATCCCACAACAGCTACATCAAGAGATTCAAAAACGGGCTCTGATCATCTTTACGGATGGTTCTTGGATACCCGACAAGGGAGCAGGAGCGGCGGCTGTGGCCCATCCTTCAGGGAAAAGCATGACAGCCTCCATCAACTCAGCCGATTCCATCTCAAACTTTGAGACCGAACTAATTGGGATCAGACTGGCCATCACCATGGCACAGGATTCCCTAGAAGCTGACCATTCACAGGATATCGCGGCAGTAGCCATATTCTGTGACAATCAAGGGGCCCTAGCTCTCTCGGCGAATCCGTTGTCTTTATCCTCTGGACAGCACTTATACACTGACAACTTCTTTCGTATGAAAAGTCTAGGATGCCCCGTCCGCTTATACTGGTGCCCCGGCCACGAGGGGGTGACAGCTAACGAAAAAGCAGACAACCTCGCTAGATTAGCAGCAACAGAAGAGTCACCCCCTTACGGAAGTCTGGCCAAAACAAGACTCTACAGCCGGCTCCAAATACAGGGTACCGAAGAAGAGCCAAAAGAAGTTTCCCGCCGTTATCCATTCTCTAAAGACTGCACGAAGCTGGTGCAAGCCTTAGATCGTCAGGAAAAAGGGTTGGCAGCAACAATACTGCAGCTCAGAGCAGACCACGCCCCCCTAAATAATTTTCTTTTCAAAATCAAAAATATTCTTGACCCCAGATGCACTAATTGTTTTGTCCAAGAGAACGCGGCACATTTTCTTATGTTTTGCGCCAGGTACAGGAAGGCTCGAGCAAACCTGAAGAGGAAACTACGACGGCTGAGGTGTGGAGTGAATGCAGATTCCTTCAAATCAATCATGGACAACCCCAAAGCGATGGAAGAGGTGTCCGAATTCATTTTGGCAACAAATCGTTTCCCGAACATTCGAAGATACGGCCCAACCGCGCAATTCACCTAACGGCTTCACTCTCCTCTACAGTTTTCACTCTCGCTCAACATTGTTTTTCCTTTCCTTTTTCCTTTCCTTCAGCCTCAGAAATTCTTCCTGTCTTTGCTCTTTCTCTCTACCGACCTCATCCTTTTCTTTGCTGCTCATCTGTAAACCTCTTTCTCTTGAACACATCCTGTATGTAATTGCGATGGACTAGGAGACCTAACCCAGACTCCCTGAAGACCGATGGACCTCAGATTATTGGGGGATAATCTGAGGATCCCTTATCTTTCAGAAGATTGCGACAGGTTTGTGGGGGCCTTAAAGCACTCTGATAAAATCAAAATTTTGGTGGGATGGGACGATGGGCTGGGTTCTCCGAAATCCAGAGCATTTAATCCCCCTCCCTCTATTCCTACTCCTGTTTCTCCGTTTTCCATCCTTTATAGGTTTTTACTGCTTTCTTCAGAATTTTATGTTTCTACAACTTCTTCTTTCTTTATCCGATTCGCTTCCTCCTTTTTCTTCTTTTTCTTTCCTTTCTTTTCTCATTTCTTCCTTTTCTTTCTAAACTTCACACACTAAAAGCTTTACACGTTTGTCGACCACAAAACCAACCCTGGATTTTGAGGGTGTCTGAAATCTTGAGCAAAAAAAATAGTTTTTTTTAGCCCTTTTGAGCCTACACAGATTTGAAATATTACCTCAGAGTATTGCATAACCACTCAAAATAGGTGCTACAGGTGCTTTAAGAGGCATAAGGCCATGAATAAGCCTAACTTAAACCCATAGTTATGGGTTTAAGTATGGCTTTTGGCAGGCATGTCCAAATACATGCTTGTCATACAAATAAAAAACAAGAACCACTTGAGTAGAACCTTAGCGGTTACAATTTTGAACTCTACACATCTGTAGGAGTTCAAAATTGTAATAAAAATTAGTATTGAGGCATAGGCCCCGCATATCCATTTTGGATTTTGCGGGCGGGGCATGGTTGGTCTATGCCATCCGCAACTGTAGGGATAAAAGTAAACAGAGGATTGTGATAGGAAAGCTGTAATGTAAGGGATAGATTATTAACAAACACACTCACTAGGTCTAAGTAACATGAACG